TGATAGTATATAGATAAAGAAACTAAATCAAAGTACTGAAGTACTGAACATCGGATGACCGCAGGTTCTTGTGGATGGTCAAAAGCACATGTCACAGAAACAGATCACATCTCTATACCTGAAACTGAGATTAATTTACAGAGATTTTTTTTTCTTATACAAGTTCGTGCTTGGATGATGAATAAATGACAGGAAATTCAACCTCACCGTAATAACTATTATATTGTAGTGATACAAATCAGTATACCTTAGACTATTATACTAATATAATAATAGTTCCAGAGAATACACTGGTTTGTTGTTATATATTATATTAATATTACGGTTGCATGTATATATAATTTTCATCTATTTGTATATCATACTATTCTACTATTATTATAGTGTAATGCAAGTGCATGGTGGACACTCTTCTGTAAAAAAAAAAAGTCAAAGTCTTAAAGGCTGTAAAAGCAATTGCTGCCATGTTAATGTTTTGTGGACTTTTATTTTTCATCCATATATATAAGAATTAAACCTGACAGGACAGGAGTGTTGACTAGTGAGAAGCAAGACGGTTTTAACTTTATATCAATATAAGACTTTAGCAGGAAATCATTTTAAATATGTTTTATATTTTACAAGGAGACAACAAGTTTACCAGGCTAAAGTTGGGGTTAATTATACATATGTGCTGAAACATATAACTGAAAAAAAAAATCATTATGGATTATCCCCTGGTAGTGTTTGTAACTGGGCAATAATTTCCTTTATTGATTTAATTTTAACCATTTTCATAATTAATTTAAATTAACCATTCAGTTAAAACATTTCAACTTTCCAGACGCAAATGTTGAAAAACGGGACAGAAATAAAATATCTTACAAGACATAAACATGTAAAAAATAAATATATATTTCAGCTTACTAAAAATATTTTCATAATGTTACTTTGACATCATTTCTTAAAACTAAGTCCCAAACATAATTGCTCAGTTGACATGTGTCATCCTCATGCAATACGAGATAACTATAATTCTGATGCAATCCCGAAAAGGGGGGTCATCACAAACAAACATGACATTAAATTGTCATTATACGAACTAGAACAAACAGCTCTATGTTGCTTTGATATTTATCAATTTTCAGGAAACATGTGAAATAAATTTCAGGTCCATTTCATTATAGTGCCTAACAAGATTGTGTGAGGTAGACGAAATTGACCTTAAAACGATCGTATTGTCTTTTGATGTCCAAAAATAGGCAGATCGGACATATAAGGACTTTATCTAATGACTACATAAATTTGGGATTTATTATTATTATAATATTCTAATGAAACTGAAAATTGTATTTTTTTTTAGGATAAACAACAATTTTACCTGGCATAGCCGTTCATAAATGTTTTTCTGCATTTATCTTCGAAAAATGGCGTATTTAATGGAATAGAACATTAATACAGTAAACTTTCTCTTTTTTCTCCGCAATAGGCTATCAAAAATAATTTATCTAATGTGTATGTGGAAAATTATGTGAAAAGATAAAAAGTGGCAATTGTTACCTTTCATACCTTAAGTTTCGTTCATCTGATTCTGACCAATGCTTATATACTAAATATCTATTTATATGCCGCTATTATTGTTGTTGTTACCAATTATTTAAATCAATTGTATCTGATTTTATGCCCTTTATGGGCCCTGTAATTTGGGAAATAAAAAAAAAATCTATTCATTGATAAAACGTAATATGGACTGGTCCAGTGTCCAGTTTGCAGGTCATTTAATTTTCTGTACACATTCATGCACGCTCTGATTTAATCAATATACTCGTACGAAAAAGCATGAACAGTTTGAAGGTAATCTAATAATAACTTAATCCAATCAAATTGCATAAGATTCAATAACAATGTCAAGTCTACATCATAATGAGTAATAGAGGTAAACTGGGTAGGGAGAAAAGGACAGATATTTCAAGTTAATATTTATGCAATAACGAATTAAAATTTGTCAACCAAAAGTTTTGCTACAATTTCAAAAACATGTCGTTCTGTATGGGTATAGTTTTCGGATCTTTCATTAGCGTATTTAAGGCTATAAAAAGTTTGGGCTTCAAAAGTTCACACAATTATTGACTTTATACAGAAAATTCGTCATTGTAAAACATTTAATAGTTCACAAATGATACGCTATTTTAAAGTAAAATTATTTCTTAAAACACTGCAAAAAATTTCATTCATATTGATAAAGTGGTATCATCATAAAGTGCGTTGAAATGAACAGTGGTATAGCAAACATCGAATTCCCTCACAAAATGTTATCACACACTACAGTAAGGGGAGTCAGTTAAGTTTGTCTATTTTTAGATACTATACAGGTAATCTTTTGACACTACGTATACAACCTGTGTGACCTGTGTAGTGATTTTGATTTTACGATAAATTCATGAATGAACGATAATTTTATGAATGAACATGAGCACCTGACCTCTTTCTTAAACACCTATTAAACATATAAAACCGTATTTAATAAGGAGATAATTCAGTCAAATTTTCAGTACTAAATCAACAACTGAAATGATTCCATTTTTTGATGAAACATCGTACGAACGGAGAACGGAATCGCAGGTATAAAAATGCACTTTTTTCCCTTGTAATGACCGCGGATCTATAATTTTTATAGATCGGTTGAAATCCCAAAACTAATTTGCATAATGGAAATTTAGGCGATAGCAATACATCGGAATGACCTCAAGGTCATCCTCTGTAAAAAGCAGAAAAAAATAAAGGGTCTGTGTGCTTGTTTTCGAGATATAAGCCATTGAAAATTTGCAGGAAATAATTCTCTCTAGATTTTTCTTATATTTAACATTGGCATCTTTTTTCTTTAAAAAACGATGAAAAAATAACAAGGATTTTAAAAGATTTTCAAAGATGAAATTTTGAACTATTATGTTATTAAATTATGGGAAAAAAAGTAGGGGTTAGTGGGCAATTTAAAATATTTAAATGGTACTACATGGGTAAAACCAGAGGATTCTGAATATCTGGCAAATATTCAAAATCAAGAGGAGCGAACATCCTTAAACTACATTCTTGTTTTTCTGTTAATAAATTGACATACTAAATTTGACTATCTTGATGCAAACAACTTGTTTAAACATTCCAGTGATGTTAGAAATGGAATTAGATTTTGATGTTGTAGGGACATGCCAATATTACCTCATCTGGAAATGATTAGCCTTTCAAACATGATAAACAATTTGAACAGCCAATAAATTCATCAGCTTTATCAAATAAGGCATTTTGTCTTTCAGATTTAAGGATTTTTATAATGTCCTGAAAAATCAACACGAAGAAATCATTAAAGAAATTTACATTCTTTATCATCTTTTACTTAAAATAAATCTGAAGGAAGTGGGATTTATAATGAACGCTTAGATTTATTTCATCTCAAATAAAAGTTGTCAAATTATCAGTATTGACCTTTTTCCTAAATACTATGTGATTAGCAGTGAGATAAAAAATTCTATACACTTTAAAGGTCTTTGACATGGCCAAGCTTAAGATTAAACCAACTACATCCTGCTCTCAAAAAAAATACAAAGGTTATTGGTCTGGTTAAGAGAAATATTCATGGAACATTGTATGTAAGAAAATACAATGCATTAATGTATTGAAACAATTGGACTATAAAGGATCTGACGGTATCTTTATGTTGATCTATAATGTAACATTGTCCAAGGTCATATTAGTATTGTTATTATACAATAAAATCAGTTTAAGCTGAACCATTTGTGAACTGGAAACCTGTGTAAATGGAAATAATGCTTCTAAGGACAACAAATTTTCTTTGGCAATTTTAATACAGGTAGAATCAATTCACTAAAAGTAGAGATTATATCTAATTTGGGGTAATGTTCAACCTGTTCATACAATATAAAAATGAAGAAAATATCTTAACCAACAGAATTATGTGCTGGTCATTATAAATTATATATGTTATTCAGGATATTCAAAGTGGATATGGGCTCATATTCCCTGGCAGTGTTTTATATCTCCTGAGCTGCCAGGCTAAGGAGATATAGGGCGCTGACATGGAATATGATCCCATATCCCCTGTGAAGCCCAAACAGTATACTCAAGATTGGGTATAATTGTATAGTTATAGTTCTGGATTTGAAATACTATGTGCACATCTTAAAAAAAATGTATGGACCCAGGAACTCCGTGTTGTTGGAACAGATCAATATTGATTCCTTGGTGAATAAAAAGTCATAATGACTTACACAAATGATTATAGTTTTATGTAGTTCTAGTAAAGAAACATGATAGGTTATTCATACAACGTAGATATAAGGACCTTATAATCCCATTGTGTATTGATTCCCATCAAATTGTATGAAGAGAACATTTTTATTTGTCATGTTTATTACATTACAAAAGACTCAATTTATCTTGTATTTTATATGCATAAAAATATTCACCTTCTAAATTTTAAATTTTGCTAAATATTTTTATGCATATAAATATTTTGCTAAATATTTATATGCATAAAAATATTTAGCAAAATGTAAAATTTAGAAGGTGAAGCACAAATAAACTTATTAATATCAAGCTGTACTTGTGGAATTGAACAAAATGCTATTATAGAATAATTCAGTGTCAGTTCCATTTTATTCTTTCTACATTTATTGTTTATGTCACTGACCTTTGAATAAAGGGATGGTAATGTAAGTAAGCCATTTAACTCTTCCATATGTTAGTTATGCATGAAGTGATTTTTTTCATCTTGAATTACAGTAATACAATATTGTTTTTTTTCTTTTTACAATAATTGAAGACAATTGTAGGTGATCATATATGTAGACCTCTAGATGTCTATTTTGGTTAATTCATGTTGTTAGATTGCTGTCCTTTAAACATTTTCTCAGCATTTCCTTAGATTCATATTTACCTCATTTTCTTGCTTTCAATATTTTAATTTTTGTTTTTATTTTATTTTATTTCATTTTATTTTATTTCAGGGTAAATATTTCTTGGTAAAAGATATTCCACAGAAAACAGACAGAAAATATGAGTTTTACAGGGCTCCAAACTTCAGAAAAGCATGCCCTCATTTGCCTGTATGGGCATGTGGTCAACCAACAGAACGAGGTCTGTCAACTATACTGGATAGTTTGTCTAATGAGGGTTTCACTGTAAGTTCTGTTATTTACTGTGAAAACAATATTTCATAACATTAGGCTAGAAATAAAATCAAAACCAGTATTTCACAAAACACCATTCAGTCTTTGGATACAAAAATATATTTTATAAGCTGTAAAACCAGATTTTAAAGAAAGTACAAGAAAATTTGAATTAAGAAAACTATAACTATATATAAACTCGCGATTGTTGTTTGCCAATCAAATTGACCAATTCTAATGAAACATACATGTATTGTAATTATAACATAATGCAAAAGATAACAGGAATTAACAAAAAATATTGGGCAGTACATTAGACCAAACCAACAATCTACTCCTCAGAGAGATGCACAATCAATACAAGGTCAAGATAACCTAACTTCGTACAGACACAAATTTTAATGGAGTTAAACCAGTTTTACGGTAACATATACAAAATGCCTCCTTTTTTGCCTATCTTGACCATGTGTCATAAAAGTAAAACACGATAAAATCTGAACTATCCAGCTACCCAACAGGATTACCACTAACAAGCAAAATCTGAACTATCCAGCTACCAACAGGATTACCACTAACAAGCAAAAATCTGAACTATCCAGCTACCCAACAGTATTACCACTAACAAGCAAAATCTGAACTATCCAGCTACCCAACAGGATTACCACTAACAAGCAAAATCTGAACTATCCAGCTACCAACAGGATTACCACTAACAAGCAAAAATCTGAACTATCCAGCTACCCAACAGTATTACCACTAACAAGCAAAATCTGAACTATCCAGCTACCAACAGGTTACCACTAACAAGCAAAAATCTGAACTATCCAGCTATCCAACAGTATTACCACTAACAAGCAAAAATCTGAACTATCCAGCTACCCAACAGGATTACCACTAACAAGCAAAAATCTGAACTATCCAGCTACCAACAGGTTACCACTAACAAGCAAAAATATGAACTATCCAGCTACCCAACAGGATTACCACTAACAAGCAAAAATCTGAACTATCCAGCTACCCAACAGGATTACCACTTACAAGCAAAATCTGAACTATCCAGCTACCCAACAGGATTACCACTAACAAGCATTCCTCTACTTCAAAGTTGTGCTCTCTAATACATAGATTTTTATCATCTGAAATGAAAATGCACTGCTTAACTGATCCAAACAGCAGTAAAGACTAAAATTTAGAAAACTAGATTTTACCACGTCAAACTGTTTATCAAAATATTTATCCACTCACTTTAAACCTTGCATTTTAAAGTTTGAACATTTAACTATCATGGGTGGATAAATATTGTAATCATTAGAGTAACAATGCCAATGCACTTTTTTCGAATAAATGAATAAATATAGCAGGAAATTACATGTGACAAATTCGCCGTTTCAGAATCTAATGCATTCTTGGTAATATTTTCAAAAGCGTAAACCCAAACGTTCTTAACTATTGAAATTCAACCACTGACATAATGTTATTTTCATTTTGGTGTACGAACAATGAGATTACCCATAGTCCTTAAGATTCTGAAAAGGCAAATTCATTTAATGTGTGGCGTATCAAAATTTCTCAAACTGGACAGAACCAGTTGAAATGAAAACAGAGTTAGAGAAACTCTTATAAAAATAAGGAGATGTGATAATGATTGCCAATTAGACATCTATCCTACCAGAGTTCAACTTGTGCATTATTAATACTATATTGGTCTCTAAAATGCTTTGTAAAACATTTTAATATGGGCGATAACTCAATAGTTTACCATTATGTATATAAAAATAAGGAGATGTGGTATGATTGCTTATGAGACAACTATCCACCAATGTTCAAATGAAGTGGATGTAAGCAGTTATAGGCAACCGTACGGTCTTCAGCAATGAGAAAAACCCATACTGTATAGTCGGCTATACTTTCCATTCTTTCTGTAACACAATTATGTAATATGATATTCTGTTTTCAAGTAACTCGATAATTAAACATTGTATGCCGTTCACCAATAACTCAGTGACATAGGAGAAGACTGAAAGGGGGTGCAAACTTCTGAAAGTGACAAGAAAAAAAAACTCTTATTTAGTCTCAGTCTAAAATTTAGTCAGTGTCCTCTTTCATTTTTTATTTAAAATAAAAACAAATTTGGCCAAAAGTAGGGGAAGTGTCTTTTATCTCCATCTTTAGCAAATGTTTTTTCTCAGGTTTTGAATTATATGACATATTTTCTTTATTTTCTTTTATGTAAATTTTTTGTCATTTATAGTTAATAATGATGTATTTGAAGGTTAAATTGTTTGTTATATTTAAATCTTAGGACATTTTGTTATTCAATCTGAGAGAAGAACCTGTATTATTTGTTGACTCTGGCTCAGACATGCTACCATATACCATTCGAGACCGGGATACCTTAGAAAGCCTTGTCTTACTTGGAAGAAGTCCACAGGAGGCAGATGAAGCAGAAGCCAGAGTTAGAAAAGAGGTAGGTATATCTTCTGTAGAGTTAGAAAAGAAGTAGGTATATCTTCTGTACAGTTAGAAAAGAGGTAGGTATATCTTCTGTACAGTTAGAAAAGAAGTAGGTATATCTTCTGTACAGTTAGAAAAGAAGTAGGTATATCTTCTGTACAGTTAGAAAAGAAGTAGGTATATCTTCTGTACAGTTAGAAAAGAAGTAGGTATATCTTCTGTACAGTTAGAAAAGAAGTAGGTATATCTTCTGTACAGTTAGAAAAGAAGTAGGTATATCTTCTGTACAGTTAGAAAAGAAGTAGGTATATCTTCTGTACAGTTGGAAAAGAAGTAGGTATATCTTCTGTACAGTTAGAAAAGAAGTAGGTATATCTTCTGTAGAGTTAGACAAGAAGTAGGTATATCTTCTGTAGAGTTAGACAAGAAGTAGGTATATCTTCTGTACAGTTGGAAAAGAAGTAGGTATATCTATCTTCTGTACAGTTAGAAAAGAAGTAGGTATATCTTCTGTACAGTTAGAAAAGAAGTAGGTATATCTTCTGTACAGTTAGAAAAGAAGTAGGTATATCTTCTGTACAGTTAGAAAAGAAGTAGGTATATCTTCTGTACAGTTAGAAAACAAGTAGGTATATCTTCTGTAGAGTTAGACAAGAAGTAGGTATATCTTCTGTAGAGTTAGAAAAGAAGTAGGTATATCTTCTGTACAAAGGAGGTAAATATTCAAAGGATTGTAATGAAACAGAAAGCTATTGTTTTTGAAATTTAGAGGCAGATATTATTTAACCATTAAATAAAGGAGATGGATTGCATTGTATTTGACCTCTATTATATTTCTTAAAATAATTGGGGAGCACTATTAGTTAACACTTTATTTGTTCATCCTTCCATCTGTTCAAAATGAATGGTTTCCAGATGGTTTCTAGAGTTTCCCTTGCTTGTTTAGATTTATCATATACACATAGGGAAGGGGAAAAATTTGTATTTTGGAATGAAAAATCTGCAGGATGGAAGATAATTTATAAGATGAAGACCTTATTGAAAATGTTCATTGACAACTGCTGAGTGCTCACTATTTAGGCTGTTAGCATTACAGATATCTACATAAGGAAATGTCTGTACCATGTCAGGAATATGACAGTTGTTTTCCATTGTTTGATTTGTTTGACCTTTTGATTTTGCCTTTTGAATTTCTGTTTTGAATTTTCCTTGGGAGTTCGGTATTTTTGTTATTTTACTTTTTATGGAACAACTTGCTAAAATAATTATTCAAAAGCTTTACAAAACCTAATTGTAAAGAAAAAACAAAGTTCATAAGATATTGTTCGTACTGTAATCAGATGTTATTTAATCTATTTAGTCTGATTGAAAAGTTTGAATAAGGCATAAGATTTTGAAGTTTCTTGAAAAGCAGAAAAAAAATCTTGAAAAGGTCTTTTCAAGTTAGCTAACAGATTTATATCAAAGTGCTAGCTGTGTTGTTAAAGCCAACACAAAACACATCAGACAATTGTTATAAGATGGATTGATTTACATATCAGCATGTCCCATCTTTGTTGTGACAGCTTCTAAGTGCAGTCAATATTTGAATCAAGAAGGAAAAAAAAACATGTTTTATCAATTTCAATTTTTCCTAAGTAATCTTGAAATTATTTTTCTTTCTTTCACAATTTCCTTGTAAAGAAATGAAATAACAAATTGACAGAGTAGCTGTCGTCATTGGATTAATGTATGATAGAGTAATTAGTACACATCATTGTAAGAGCTTGCTATAGTTGTATATGTTACTGCATTTGTTGTTGCCATTTTAAAACTTAGAGAACAGGAACAGAATTGTTTGAAAAAGTCACACAGTTTTCTTCTTTTTTAATTTTTTGGAAGTATTTACAAGTAACAGAAGAAATACATTTGTCCCAAAAGACATTCATTTCAGCATTTTCACATTAATTTCAGTTTTCACTGAATTAGTCCCAATATTTGTTGTACTATTTCTCACTTCCCAACAAAACGTCATGTACAGTGTCGAAAAAGTATATGCTGTTTTTTGGGCATTGATACAGTTTACAGCAGAGGAATATTTTCAATTAATTAGAGCAGATGCAGTTGAGTTGTTTAAATTTGATTTTTGTCGAGCCTTCGACTTTTGTCGAAAAAGCAAGACAAAGCGATCCTACATTCCGTTATCGGCGGCGTCCACAAATATTCACTCTGTGGTTAAAAGTTTTTGAAATTTTAATAACTTTCTTAAACTATCCTGGATTTCTACCAAACTTGGACAGAAGCTTGTTTATGATCATAAGATAGTATCCAGAGGTAAATTTTGTAAAAAAAAAAATTCCTGTTTTTCCGTATTTTACTTATTAATGGACTTAGTTTTTCTGCCAGGAAACATTACATTCACTCTGTGGTTAAAGTTTTTAAAATTTTAATAACTTTCTCAAACTATTCTGGATTTCTACCAAACTTTGACAGAAGCTTGTTTATGATCATAAGATAGTATCCAGAAGTAAATTTTAAAAAAAAAATCCTGTTTTTCCGTATTTTACTTATTAATGGACTTAGTTTTTCTGCCAGGAAACATTACATTCACTCTGTGGTTAAAGTTTTTAAAATTTAATAACTTTCTTAAACTATCCTGGATTTGTACCAAACATGGACAGAAGTTTGTTTATGATCAAAAGCTAGTATCTAGAAGGTAATTTTTATTAAAATTTTGTACTTGTTTATCCATATTTTACTTATAAATGGACTTAGTTTTTCTTCCAGTTAACATTACATACGGTCTGCAGTTAAATTTTTTTAAACATTTATTAGATTCATAAACTATCCTGGATTTTTACCAAACTTGGACAGAAGCTTCTTACAATAAAAAAAATTGTATCGAGAGGAATATCTTTATTTAATTTTTTCCTCATCTAATTTTTGTTGAGCCTGCAATTAACAGGAAAAGTAGGCGAGACACTGGGTTCCGCGGAACCCTTACAAATTTTTTTATATGGGCTCCAGTAATGTTTGAAAGTTACCTCAGGTCACCAGGTCACTTTTCAGCAAATTTGACAGATTTTTGTTCAACAATTAACCTGTGCTAAAGCTCACAGGTCCTATAAAAAGAAATGTCAGGTCTGAAGGTTGCTTGCCAGACCCCCGCCCCCATTGTTGCAGGTCAGAGTTGACCATGTTAGAGCCACATATCTGCATTGAAATCATAACCTTTCTTTGTGATGTTCTCTGTACTTGAAATATAAATATTCATGGCTGGTTGTTCAAAATACCGTAGTCAGTCTTTTTGTACTGATTAGAATACATAATACTGTCTTGAAAATAAAATTATGATAAATACTATTATTTCAGGTGATAGATCTAGCCATCTTGAATGATAAAAACAAATTTTATTTCTATGGGGATATAGAAAATCCACAGAAAGAGCTTAGAGAGCTTACAGTTCAGTATGAGGATAATTTACTGGTTTCCGAGGAAGTGTATTCCAGACACATGTTGTGCTCACACAGTGTCAGGTAAGTACTTAATTACCTCGGCCACACTAAACTGGTAATTCTCTTGTCTGCTTATTACAGAATTACAACCATTCTGTAAAGAGAAATTTGAATTTTTAAATTTACTTGAAGTTTAAAAGATATTCATCATCACTGGAATCTAGCTAGCTCGACCTCATACATGTAAAGAAATTGATTACTGACATAAAACACCACAACACTCCCGTATCTCCATTTCAAACAATCTTATTGTGTGTTATTTTGCAGTGCATATACTGATTTTGTGTCATGGATAGATACCCCATATCCTTTGTTTTTCTTTTATGTATCCAAATTGAGAGAAAAAATTGTTATACATGTAAGAAAGAAGAATATTTCATCATTTTCCAATAACTTTTCTGGAAAAAATTTGCTTGAAAAAAGACTTTCCAGAGTGAATTAAGAAAACTCTTGCTCTAACAAAAATATTCCTTGATTTCAATGTTACCTGCTATAATTATAATTTTTAACCGGATTTTCGAAGGAAATATCGGTTATTAAAATGGGGATGTATGGCGGGCGGCTGCCAAACAGTGTCAGCACAATAACATGAAAACGCTTTAACAAATTTTTTTCAAATTTTAATATGTTGTTTCCTGGGACTTAATGAAGGTCTAGTTTAATTTTCAAGATTTTAGTATATCTCCTTTGTGAGTTATCGCCATTTTTAATATCCAAAAGTGGATTTTTAAAATATTTTACTCTTGTTATCATGTTATGATTTGTCTTATCTCACAATAAAAATTGGAGTGACAGATTTATTTGAAAATTATCTATTTCCTAAGTGGTAATGATTTTAAGCTATATCATTAGACATTTATCCCCCTTCAATTTGAGAATGTGCTTTTATCTTGTAAACGGTCGAGATCCCTACCCCTAAACCATATATATTCTTGCATGGGACAATAAAACAAATCAAATGAAATACAAGGCCAGTCCCCTGGGGTCACCCCCACCCCCTTCTGTCTGAGAACTTGTAAACGGTTGAGATCCCCACCCCTAAACCATATATATTCTTGTATGGGACAATAAAACAAATCAAATGAAATATAGGGAAAGTCCAGAGAGGTCACCCCCACCCCCTTTTTTTGAAAACTTGTAAACAGTCAAGATCCCCACCCCGAAACCATATATATTCTTGTATGGGACAATAAAACAAATCAAATGAAATAAAAGGTGAGTCCCCTGGGGGTCAACCCCACCCCCTCCTGTTAAAGAACTTGTAAACGGTTGAGATCCCCACCCCTAAACCGTATATATTCTTGTATGGGAAAATAAACAAATCAAATGAAATATAGGGGAAATCCATGAGGGTAACCCCCACCCCCCTTCTTTTTGATAACTTGTTAACAGTCAAAATCCCCACCCCGAAACCATATATATTCTTGTATGGGACAATAAAACAAATCAAATGAAATTTAGGGGAAGTCTATGGGGGTAAACCCCTACCCCCTTCTTTTTGAAAACTTGTAAACGGTTGAGATCCCCACCCCAAAACCATATATATTCTTGTATGGGACAATAAAACAAATCAAATGAAATTTAGGGGAAGTTCCCTGGGAAAACCCCCACCCCCCTTCTTTTTGAAAGCTTGTAAACGGTCAAGATTCCCACCCCGAAACCATATATATTCTTGTATTGGACAATAAAACAAATGAAATGAAATATTGGTGGAGTCCCCGGGTTCACCCCCACGCCCCTTCTTTTTGAAAACTTGTAAACGGTCAAGATCCCCACCCTGAAACCATATATATTCTTGTATGGGACAATAAAACAAATCAAATGAAATAAAAGGCGAGTCCCCTGGGGTCAACCCCACCCCCTCCTGTTAAAGAACTTGTAAACGGTCGAGATCCCCACCCCTAAACCATATATATTCTTGTATGGGACATTAAAACAAATCAAATGAATATAGAGGAAGTCCATGGGGGTAACCCCCACCCCCTTCTTTTTGATAACTTGTAAACGGTCAAGATCCCCACCCCGAAACCGTATATATTCTTGTATGGGACAATAAAACAAATCAAATGAAATAAAAGGCAAGTCCCCTGGGGTCACCCCCACCCCCTCCTGTTTAAGATCCCCACCCCTTAACCATATATATTCTTGTATGGGACAATAAAACAAATCATATGAAATTTAGGGGGAATCCACTGGGGATCACACACACCCCCCCCCCCCTTTTGAGAACTTGTAAACGGTTGAGATCTCCACCCCTAAACAAACATATATATTCCTGTTCATCATTTCAAGAAGATTTGAATGACATACAGGGTCAATCCATAGGCGTCACTTATGCATATCACAAGCCAATTTGTACTGGACTTTGGCCAATGTAAGGTGACCATGGTGATGACGAATTATTGGAGCTTTGTTTGGGAGACTTCCTAACAGCATCCTGTTACAATTATTTCTTGTTACTGATAACTTTTATAGCTTTTGAAAAGACATTGTATTAATGATAAATCAGATTTTGGATTTTTTTTTTCTTTTCTTTGGTAAATTGTTTGAAGAATTTTGTGGCAAGTTTGTTTGTTATTCTGTAAAAACTAATTTTCTGAATGCTATATATTTTTTTTTTATGAAGTGAACTCCTTTAAAAACTAAGCTTATATTGTCTATTAATAAACATATATTTAGATTTCTGATTTTGGGCCCAGTTTTCAAGTTGGTCCAAATCGGGGTCCAAAATTAAACTGTGTTTGATTTCAACATAAATTGAATAAATATAGGGTTCTTTGAAATGCTTAATCTAAACCTGTATTTCTTTTCATTATTAATAAGATAATACCACATTGAGGTCCAAAGGGTCCTAAATTAAACTTTTGTTTAATTTTATCAAAAATTGAATTCTTTGGTTCTTTGATATACTGATTCTAACAATGTTTGAGTGTTAAATCATATCTAATTTTAGAGAACTTAGTCATCACTGGTTGTTGTTATTATATTATTTATTATAATTTGAAAAATTGCATCATATCTTATTTTAGAGAACTATTTATCCAGTTTGAGTTATTTCCCTTTGCACAGAAAATATTATGGATAAAATTAACCTGTGTTTCATTTCAACATAAATTAAATATATATAGGGTTCTTTCAAATGCTGAATCTAAACCTGTATTTAAATATTAGATTTTTGGGCCCAGTTTTCAAGTTGGTCCAAATCAGGGTCCAAAATTAAACTTTGTTTGATTCAACAAAAATTGAATTTATGGGGTTCTTTGAAATGCTGAATCTAACCATGTATTGAGAGATTTTTGATTGTAGGCTTCTTTATCAAATTGGTCCATATTGAGGTCCAAAGGGTCCTAAATTAAACTTTTGTCTGATTTCATCAAAAATTGAATTCTTGGGTTTCTTTGATATGCTGATTCTAATATGTACTTAGATTTTGGATATTGGACCATAATAGGTAAATGTCCAATTTCAAATATTTCAGTTCTTTGACCACATTCATTTTGTGTCACAAACCTATGCTGTGTCAAATATTCAGTCACAATCCAAATTCAGAGCTGTTTTAAGCTTAAATGTAGTGTCCATACTTGCTCAACTGTTCAGGGTTCAACCTCTGCAGGAAAATCCGGTTTGCTGTCACTTTGACAGCCTCTTGTTAATTATTTCTTATGTTTGATATTTTAAATAAAAAATGTTCTTTTCAATCCTTTAAACACGAAACAGAATTAAGTATAAAAGAAAATAATTTCCTATCTTGTTAAAAAAAATGTTTAGATAAAAATCTAAGGACATTTTTCTTAAGCAAATCAATATGATCAAAGTGAAATTTGTCATTGAAATATTTTTTTTTCTGAAACATCATATGTTTCATATTATTGAATTTTGAAAGTTTTATATTTTACGACTTTAATGAAAGATTTAAAATTTTACAACCAAATAAGGATTTTATTAAACATTAAAGTCAGGCTAAAATGACATAATTTGTGAAGTCTTAATTGAGTTTTAGTATCTGCACAGAAGCTGACTTCTATTACAGAATAATAATCATGTGAGAGAAATTTTAAAGCTATGAATTTTGACTTTGATTTTCAAAATACATAAATTCTAGGCATTAATTTCAAAGTTGTTCTTTTGAGGACCATATTGTCTTGGTATTTCTAATTTGAAGACACATTAATTTCAGATTTAAAAGATTATGCTTTCCATTAGAAGCTTCTCCGACAGATGAAGATATTGATGACTTTTTGAATGTATTTAAGGTAATAATTAGAGATAGTTCCTGGTCACAGTAATTGTCGTAATGTTGTCGTTATACAAGAAATATTGGAGTGAATTTGCACACAAATTTCACACTATTATTATGATATTCCTACTGAAGACAAATCGTTAATAATTATATGTACAAGTTTGTCCACTATTCTTTTCATAAAAATGTTTGATACTAATAATTAAGTCTGAATATTTTAGTTTATTAAACTTAAAGTTAAAATGCCGTTTTTTTATTGGTTAATAAATAAAGTAATATTCTACTCTAACTCCTGGCTCAGTGGGTAACAATTTTTTGAACCACACTCATATTAACCAATAAAAAACTGTAAAAACAAAAAAAAACCAATAATTTAAAAGCTTATAATAACAGAACATTCATTACAATGAATTAAATAACACATTGTTTAAAAAGTGATAGAGCTGATTGTTACCCCTTAGAAAATGATGTCGACTACAGCTTTGCCCAGGTGACAATGTCTTTCCTTGGAGTAAGAATCTGCTCTTTCACCTTCTCAGCTATTTCTTTTTTATAAACTTACACATTTACTCTGGCAAAAGAATTTTTTTTAAATGTTACCCAGTCAATAAAACAGACAATCTGATAGATAAAATTCATAATTTAAGATGATGATAAATGAAACATTTGTATTATAATTTCAATAACACACACATGAAGGGTTATAGAGCTTAGACTTAATTGACAAAGTTTTTTGGGGGGTAACAATCTATATAAAACTTCTTATATCTAATTCAATCATAGAATTTATGTGAAAAGAGCAAAGATATGCAGTATTCTGGCTTCACCAGGTCAATTAATGATGACAAGAAAACTCCTTCCAATTGTGTAGAATGCACCAATATTCACGCTTCAAAGAATTAATTATAATCACAAATATCCAATATGAATATAGTAAATTAAATCATGTAATAATCATGAAAGAAAGCACACCAAAAATCAGTTCTATATTCTTGAAAATTTCAAATCACTCATTATACATAGAGAAATGAATAAATTAGTTGTCGCCTGAAAGATAATTTCCTAGAAATTAGATTAATGTAATAGAAATAGCCATTTTACTCTTTTTTTTTGAAACAATCGTCTGGCTGGGAGCTTTGAATTTGATTTAGAGCATTTGGTCAACAAAAATTAATGGAAAAATTACCAAATAGTTATTTTCATCAAATTTTTTGTCATTTCATATAATTGTTGATTTACTCTTATTGAAACTTTGAAAAATGTGTCTAATCATATGAAATAGCAATTCCAGTCAGCAGACAAAAGTTAATGATGTTTTTTTACAGAATAGCCTTCAATGATTGCCATTACTTGTCTGGTATTTCTTGATTCCAATGATGTTGTCATCATGTTTAACCTAAATTTTAACCCTGAACCATTAAATATCTTGTATGCCAGAAAAAATGCACTTCCTGATTGATATAGCGAATTTTGAAATCTTCTACAAAGTCATTTCTAATGTAAATAAGAGGAAAAGTGGTTCATGAAGACTGTAAGAGTGTCACTTGTTTCTACATAAAAAAAGTGGTAAATTTTTGCTAATTTCCTGACACAGAAAATCAAAAAATTAAAAAAATATACCCACATATTTCATCTTAAATGAAGATCATAAGAGACAAAAAAACATGGAAATATAAAATCTCTAACAGGTTTGGCTTTAAAAGTCAAAAAGAAACAGAAAAAAATATTTTAAGTTTATATTATAAAAATATTTTTTTCAGTATTTAAGTTGAATAAGATGAAAAGGAGATATGAGTATATGTCATTGAGACAGAAACCTGTAATGTTTGTACAAGATTCAATCATGTTTCATAATTGTTGGTCATAAGTACTAGTTAGGCTGGCTAGAAATTAGTTATACATGTATAGATAAACAGGGTTGATTTTAATTTAGATATTTAACTGATTTCAGTTATATTGTCTTGAAATATTTATTAAAAGTTGCTGGAATTGGTAAGAGGTCGCAGAAAATGACACTATTGAAAGGGATCAGAGCTGTTTTCAGATTTATAATAATGATTTTTAGATATTTTTATTTCAATAAGATTAAATCATTCACCATAAAGGACCAATATGGCTTTTTTGTTTAACCTATTATTTATTTTTATGTATTTTCCCCTTATAAGCGTATCCTATTAGTGGGATGTGCTGTAAAGTTATGGTCGTTAAGCTATCTGTAAAGGAACATTTTTCCTTTCAATCTATAGTTAAGTTTACTATAGAGATTTATGTGATGATGCCAAATTTAGTTAAAAACATTACCAGAAGTCCATTAACGGTAGATGTACATGTCCAGTAGTCATAAATATGAAATAATCTGTGATAATTTTAGAAACACAGTGACAATCCTTTTTATTCCAGTTCCAAGGGAACACAAATGATTCTATAATCATCTTAAATCGTTGACGTTATTTTCCATTGAACTTTCATGTCATATTATTGTATTTTAGTGATGAGATATGGTAAGCATTAGGTCAACCATGGGAAAAATTGATTGATACAGCCATGATGTTTTCAAAGTTTTTTTTTATTTAACATTGATTTAAAATAATAAAAAAACACTTTTGTTTGATAGCATGCCTTTATTTATTCACCAACCTACCTAATAAGCGTAAGGTATGAAATGATGAGTTCATTAACTAACTGACTAAGCAATGCATGTAAAATGGGCACAAAAGTAACCATTTTTTTTATCCTCATTGGTATGAGGTATATTTAAATTAGAAATATTTGAACCTTAATGCATATAGTTTTCATTCTACATTCCCTTTTGAATTTAACTGATACATACCACTGTCTAATTAAGGAATAACAGTACTGTAGTCGAAGAGTTGCCACCGTCAATTGTTGATTTGACGGTTGCAAATGCAGTTTTACTGGCGACACGTAGTGAAGACAGTAAAACGGAAATTTGCGACCGTCAAATCAAAATTGACAGTGGCAACTCTTCAACTACAGTACTGTTATTCCGATTCTAATGCATTACAAAAATAATATGTTACAGCTTTAAAAAATGTATAAATTTGACATACAAAAAAATTCCGCGAAACTTCATGAATAATTTTGGGGCAAAGACGTCATGGCTAAACGTGACGTCATACAAATGAAGACATACAAACTGGAGGTTATTACGTTACTTCTATGATTCAAATTCGGATAAAATCACATTAAAACGGTGAATTTGAGGTAGGTGTTGTTTTATTATCGATAATATTGTAGTAATCGAACATTTGTTAATCCAATCAATTCAAAATGGAGGGTCCCTCCTTAGTTACGCCTGGTCAGCTGTGGATTTGACGGTAACTTTTAGCCAATGAAAAAAATTGTTACATAAAAAATGCATTAGAATTACCTTTAACAGATGCAATAACTTTTCATGTTCACTTATAATGTAAAAAAGTAGAAGTGCATGATGAAATACTCTTGAACAAAAAGCATGTTATAAAACTTCCAAGTCCATGTTAAAGATAACGAACATTTACAGCTTAATTTGAAAATGGAATTTGAATATTTGTGCTTGTATGATTGTATAGCTCTCTTTAAAGTCTGTTTACAGACTATGGTTTAAGTGTCATACCCTTTTGTAGATAACTTTCTGTAAGGTACAAATAATTATACAATGCAAAAGAAGAATAAAAAAATTGACAAAAAACACATTCTTCCAGAAGAAAATACTATATGGTAATGCTATTAACTTCATAACTTTAACAGTTAATATTAATTTACCATACATATGAGTATGGCTGGATTGTGTACAGGAGAGATTACTTATTTTCATACAGATTTTAATCATTGTGAAAAACTGGATTTTGTGACATAACTGTAGATGTTACAGAGGAAGAAGTCCTCATTTCAATAGACAAACCAATATGAATATCAAATTGAATATACTTGTGAAAAATCAATTACTTTCTGTTTGCTGTTATTAGCGTATGGGCAGCAATCCTTCCTGGGTTTTGATAGGGCAATCATCTTATTGCTATAATAACAACAGAGCTCAACCTTCTTCATAGGGGATAATTTTTACCTAAAACATAAAAGAGCATATGATTTCTAACGTATATAACTGATTACTTTTCCTATTTCACAGGGAAAACCTTATGTTAGGTATATTTTTATGGCTTTTTTGCTTTTGTCTTCAGCTTTTCTTATGGCAGGATACTACAACTTGTCTGTGGCTGCCAAAGAGCTGTTTTTACAAATGTACTGAAGCTATTAACAAGAAACAGCAGTGCCAATGACTTTTTTCTGTTTTGTTTATTATAAAGAAATAATCAGTTTTTAAAGTGCTATTTATTAATTTATTACATTTGCTATAAATAATAGGCACACATATCCCATTTATCTACTGATTTTATGAAACAAAATGGACCATAGTTCTCCTTAGATCATTTTATTGATATTTCATTTGATCAGTTTGAAATGTTCATGGAGAATATTGTCAAATAAAGAGAGCATTGTTTGGCCTATATTTTCACTGATTTTCCTTTAAATTTATATTAGAAGTTATACCATTACTAAATGGAAAATGGGTACTTCAAAAACCAGGATGTCATTCTAGATTAACAGTATTGTCATAGAAATACTACTTCAATTTATTTTCCTGAAAATATTCATACTTGATCGAGAACCAATTGATTGATATTCCTTTAATATTCTCAATGTCAATATTCCCTTTAAGAACCTGAACTAGATGAACTGACACAAGATTTTTCCTAGAAATATCACCTTTTAAATAGTTATTTCATGGGGTATTTGAAATATATGTTGAATGGGAAAATTTGCCTGTTTGTTTCTTTTGGCCTTATACTTTCTTTTGAATAGAAAGTTTTTTTTTAATAGGATATTGATTGATTGTTGGTTGCTTAATGTCCAGTGGCAAATATTTCATGTATGTTCAGGACGATTGTATGTGTCAATGAGACAGCAACACAGTGACACATTAAAAACTTAAAAGACATCTCTAGTTAAGAAATAAACCGGTATCTTTACAAGATGTCAAGCTCTTTACAACCTGGAGTCTAAAAAATAGTGTAATTTTAGATATTGTACATATATCTATAAGTTAAATTCTAAAGAACTAATAGTTTTAGGAAATGACGTAATGATGTTTCTTGTACGTTTTTTTTCAAAATTGTTTTGCTTACAGTAAATAAAACTGTGCCTTTAAAAATGCTAAGCAAAAAGTTCAATGATTTCAGAATAAAACATAAAAATGAATTATAAATTGAGAAGTTGGCATAATGCTCAAGTTTTGCTACACTGTATGTAATTGTTTTAACCTTTACCATATAAAATAATATTTACATTACTTCTCATTCCAGGAATGTCCAAAGTTTTTTGAGAAATCCAAATCATGTAATCCAGGTTTGCTGTTTACCTGTAATTCTGGTCAGGACAGGGCTACAGTTGGATCTATTATGGGATGTCTTGTGCTTGCACAAAAATATGGCTTCCCTCAGGATCTAAAGTAAGCAGAATAATTAGATCTTTACAAGTACATGTAGTAAGAATATAAAAAAATATATATATAAAAGCAGTAAAATGAATGTTTGGTATAGAATGTTTAAATTATGATTTGTTGATTTTTTTCTGCTTACTTATGAGTTTTAACCATTCTTGTTTCATCTTTGAACAGATGGAATGAATTCTGTTTAAGTTTTATTATTAAACAAATTAATTGATATGCAAGAATGACAGTGAAAAATGTTGACCTCTACAACAAACAAAAATTGTCCTCCATGAACAACTAGTCCTAAGTAGTAGATCTACAGTGACCACTAGCCTGTCAATTCTGGAGTTGAGAGTTTAAACCCTTGTTATGGCATGATGTGATTGACTTGAATCTTAATTGACTGGGATTGCCAGGTTTCCTGCCAAAGATCTTTTGTTCTCTCTGGAAAATCTACAAGTTCTTCCAACAATAAAAACTGGTTTCCATGATATACCCAAAGAGTGCTGAAAGTGGTGTTCAAAAACAACAAACCATAACCAAAGCTTGAACTGAAAATCATCGCAGGATATTTTGAACTTTTTTTTTTTAATGTATTGTTTTTACTACAACATGTATAAGGTTGACTTCTTACCTTGAAAGAGAAAGAATATATTTACAAACATTACTTTTTTTTATATCTTAATTTTCATGTTTTAAATTTCAACATTCTCCAATGCACTATCTTTTTTCCAATTAAAAAAATCAATTTCTCAAGGTAATAGACAAAGTTTATTCTAGAGCACTCAGCTAGTACAAAATAAAACCAAAGAAGAAGCTACCAGGAGCCTTTACTGCTCATATGACATCTATGATATGTTTTATTGTGTCTCTCCCAGACTACAAATTGGGCATGGTGCTTTAATTGGTAGCTAAAAGGCCATTTGATTAAAGTAAACATCCCCCTCAAAAAGAAAGGCCCATCGAATTGTACACAGAAGACATTTTTGAATTTTAAGTAGGAGTGATGCTTGAGCTTGCTCGCTAAATGTTCTTTAATTTTTTTATGATCAGATTAGTTTTAAAAGCACTAGGGGTGATGGTATATTAAAGTATTGTACACATGCACACACATGTAACTTAATTTATATATCACATTGCTATTATTGAATTTAATCAGGTAAGACATCTCTTACATCACAGTTATTATTCTTTCCACAGTAGATCTCCACATCAATCATCAAAGAAATTTAACAGTTTACAGAAAGGGGACTACTACTCTGTCCGAAAACTTGTCAGAATAATTCCTAATGGTGTCCATATCAAAAACCAGGTAAGAAACAATGCTGAAAATACAAAATTTTTCAGAAACCTATGTTTAAATGACTATTTTAGGTCAAATATGTCAATTTTGACAAGTTAATGACATGACATTTGACATTTCAGCACTATTTTATCCTTTTTACATCGGATGCTCGTGAGGGCATTCCGGTGTATTGCTGTCGCCTAGATTTCCATTACGTAACTTTCGTGTTGGGATTGTAACCGATCTATAAACATTATAAATACGCGGACACTATCGAGTGCAAAATAACATTCCTTATCGCTTGTTATAAATTCATTTTTTCAATGGATACTCCTAAAAATATATTTTAAGAACATAAATTAATAATATGAAAAGGTTTTGTCATTAGAAAATATATATATAAGTAGAAAAAATTTAATATCTATGCACACGTACAGAAAAAGTGTGTTAACGCATGCGGAAGAATATCTCAAGAACGTTTTCATTCTCCCATGCAGAGTTATCGATCTTTGCTCTCTCTCAAGGACCGATAACTCTGCATGGGAGATTGAACGTTTGGTGGGAAAATATGAATGCCTACTCAAATCCAATCTATTAGAAAAATCGAATTACTACAGAAGAGTGCCTACCATACACTTGCACTGCACTATTACTTATAGTAGAATAGAATGATATACAAATGAATGAAAATTATATATACATATGTAAATGTAATATACAAATATGAATATAATATATAACAGCAAACCAGAGTATACTGATTTGTATCACTACAATATAAAAGTTATTACGATGAGGTTGAACTCCCTGACATTTATTTATCATCCACGCACGAACTTGTCTCAGAAAAAAAATATCTGTACATTAACCTTACCTTCAGGTATATATAGAGATGTGATTTTTTTTCTGAGACAATGGTGCTTGTGACCATCCACAAGAACTTGCAGTCATCCGATGTTCAGTACTTCAGTACTTTGATTCATTTTTGAGCATGCTGAAATTGAGCAAGGTTTGTAAGGATTGAAGACTTTACCTTTTTGCACTATGGACGCAGATACTGGCCACTACCATACATTCTCATTTACCTTAATTGTCTCATTTGAAATAAGTAAAAAAACCTCAAATGCTATGACCGACATGTCTGGAGTCAATTTTACATTATAGTTCTTCCATTATTCTTACACTACAGTTTAATCCCCCTTCCTTATGATAGTAGAGGAACATTATGTTTTCTGCTCTGTTTAAAGTTTTGGTTCAAGGTAGCTTAAAAACTGAATATGTAAATGTGATAATGTGGGCGATGCATTGTGTCCTATATTCTTGTTTACTTTACATTTATTATTACAGTTATACTTCAATCTCATGTTGTTTTGAGACTCCTGAGATTTTATCAAATGATTGAAATCTTCATGAAGTCAATGCAAATTTAAAGTTTTTATGCTCCCATCCCGCCATAGGCAACGGGCAACCATTTTTATGCCCCCATCCCGCCATAGGCAACGGGCATTTTGTGTTACCCTTGACCGTCTGTCCTTCCTTCCGTCCTTCCCATTTTTGTTTCCTCACTCTTAACTTAATTTTTTTCACCTAAATTTATAATAATACTCAGTTTGGGCAGTGAGTCAATTACTGTTCTAGAGTAAGCCACTTACCGGTAATAACTTGGAAAATTGCAATTTTTTTCGTTTCTTCACTCTTGACTTATGTTTTCCTCATCCAAATTTTATAAAGTTCGTACACAATGCTACGAACCAAAACTTTCAGACAGAGTTCGAATTTAGGCAGTGAGTCACTTATAGTTCTAGAGTTATGCCCCTTTATAACCTAGAAAATTGCAAATATTTTCGTTTCCACACTAATTTAAGTTTGCTTAATCCAAATTTTATTAAACTCATACACAATTCTTAGAACTGCAACACACAGACAGAGTGTATTTTTTCGCAGTATGTCTTTAATGGTTCTAGAGTTATGCCCCTTTATAACTTGAAAAATTGCAAAGCTTGAGCGGGGGCATTCATGACCTTAGACACATTCTTTTTTATTTTCTACTCCTACCTAAGTGTTTTATAACTTCTTATACTGTATAGACAGCTGTCTATTGTTAAAGATCCTATGATAACCTCTACATATCTTTCAGAAAATTTGTATGCCATGCTTACTATAGTAGGTGGGCATTTTGTTGTCAGGTCTGTGTGTCCATCTGTCCTGTATAAGGTTAGAGTTTTGGTTCAAGGTAATTAACCATAAAGTTACGGTCACATTAACTTGACACTGATAGTTCACATGTGGCTTATTTTGTGAACTGTTTAGAATATATATCATATTGGGATCTTGACCTACATTTTGTGTTTCACTGAACAATGAATTATGATAGTTCGAGTGGACTATGAGGTCCTATATTAGGACACATATTTATACCCCACGCAACGAGTTGCGGAGGGTATAATGTTTTTGACCCGTCTGTCCGTCTGTCTGTCCGTCTGTCCGTCCGTCAGTCCGTCAGTCCTGTTTCTTGTCATCGCAACTCCTCTCAAACCACACAACAGAATTTCACGAAACCTTTTTAGATAATAAGGACATACTATGTAGTTGTGCATATCGACAGGAAATTACGATTTATTTTTTTTTCTAGGAGTTACGCCCCTTTGAACTTATTTACTTTAATGTACTACTGCAACAGTTTGTCATCTCAACTACTCTGAAACCACACAACAAAATTTCATGAAACTTTGTAGATAATAAGGACATACTACGTAGATGTGCATATCGACAGGAAATTATGATTCAATTTTTTTTCTAGGAGTTACGCCCCTTTGAACTTATTTACTTTAATGTACTACTGCAACAGTTTGTCATCTCAACTCCTCTGAAACCACACAACAAAATTTCATGAAACTTTGTAGATAATAAGGACATACTACGTAGATGTGCATATCGACAGGAAATTACGATTCAATTTTTTTTCCAGGAGTTACGCCCCATTGAACTTATTTGCCCAATATACTACTGCAACCTTTTGTCATCGCAACTCCTCTCAAACCACACAATAAAATTTCATGAAACCTTTTCAGATAATAAGGACATACTACGTAGATGTGCATATCGACAGGTAATTACGATTCAATTTTTTTTCTAGGAGTTACGCCCCTTTGAACTTATTTGCTTCAATATACCTCTGCAACAGTTTGTCATCGCAACTCCTCTGAAACCACACAACAGAATTTCATGAAACTTTGTAGATAATAAGGACATACTATGTAGATGTGCATATCGACAGGAAATTATGATTCAATTTTTTTTTCTTATACAATTTTTTTTTCTTACAGTTATTTTATTTCTCCAGTGACAATGTGGGGACGTGGGGTATGTGAGCGTGCTCACTAAGGTTCTTTAATCTTGTTTGTTGTTGGTTTTCTGTCTTATTGATATTTAAACCACATCTCTTTTTATTCATATATATAATTGAGGAATGGTTAAAAGTATTCAGAATTTCAATTCATTGATAGGAATCTGCCTCCAAGAAATTAAGGAAATTTGATATTTTTTTAAACCCATATATAAATGACTTGGATTTATTTTTGTTCAATACTTCTGTGGATCTCATGATTAAAGACATAAAACTTGTGATTGCTGTTATTTGAAACTTAAATTTGTATACAGCAGTACACATAAATCCATTGAAATATTATACTTTAATGGCCATTCAGGTTTCTGAATTGTGATTAAAAGTTTTTATGTTTCACTGATTTACTTGGTCACGAAATGGCAATGAAGTATCAGTATTTTTAAAAATTTGATATAATGTAATAGATTAATCAAGGTTGGAAAAACCTCAGCTATTCAGTAACTAAAATATATGAATATAAGAAGTTATTTATGGTATGGCTTCAATATTTGAAATGTTAATTCATAACAAGCAGTAAATATGCATCTGACAGGTTTCACGTTAATAAGACCTCAGTTTTAAAGTTCATTTAAGAATGGAATGCTCTTTTGGTAAATTTATTGGGGTATAAAAGCATTGACCGAAGTACATTTTGTATGAAGCGCAGAAGCGCTGCATTCTAAAAATGTGCGCACGGTCAAATCTTTTACAACCCTATAAAATTACTAAAAGAATCATTCAATACTTATTACATTTTTTTCCTAGAATCATTAAAACACGATTTCTATCAAGTTTTTCTCTTATTTATCTGTGCACTTTATTGTGGAAGCTCGTACGTGTCATCATGAATGTTACATTTCATTTTGAAATGAAGGTTAACCTCAGAATGACACGAGATTGCTGTTAGCCAGTCAAAATAACACATTATAATGAAACATACATGTAATGTAATTATTTAAAATTGAAATAATTCAAGGAGACAAATAAAGTAGCAAGCCTGGCATCCAGTTTAATGTGTAAACTCTTGTTTTTTTGGCTTGAGTTATTCCATAAATAAATGATATGATATAACTGAGAACAGCCAATGACAAGGTTCCTGATAATGCATCATTTCTTAGGATTTAGGCCTATACTGAAACTGTAATTATAAGGGTAGAGAAGTTATTCCACCAATTGTCTAATTACGTCAAAACTGTAAGGGGACTTCTTATAGGAGTTTTTGCCCTTAAATGACAAATTTTACCTTTTTTTTTTCATTTTTGCCAGGAGTAGATAAAACTATAATAGATACAGAGAAACTTTATAAATTGCTAAAATGATCAGCAAGACAAGATCTACAAATATGTCTACATGGTTGAAATCGTTAGTCGACTCCTTATTAGAGTTATTGCCCTTTGAAGACAGTTTTTACCATTTTTTTGCATTTTTGCCTTATATCTTAAACATTATACGAAATAGATAGAAACTTAATTAAGCAAAAAAGGTCAGTAAGAGTTATTGCCCTTTGATGTCAATTTTTACCAATTTTTTTGTGATTTGCCTTGATTTTTGATTTCTTTACCCTCTTTTGTGTATTGAGCAAAAACTAAAGAAGATAGAGAGAAACTAAAAAGACTAAACGATCAGCAATACAAGATCAACACAAAAGAGATTTTTGTCTCAAATTCAATTATCGTGTACAATGAGAGTGTCCTTTGTTCAATGAATATGTACATAGACTTAGGTGAGCGACACAAGAGCCTCTAGTTAAAATGGAAATGGGAGATGTGTCAAAGAGCAGAAAACAGCCCAAGGCCACCAATAGATCTTCAACACAGCAGAAAAATCCCTAACCTAGCTGGCCAATAAACAATAATCTATTCTAGTTCAGCAAAAATGAACATCACAATAAACTCTGAAACATATAAATGAACCAGAATTAAAAAAACATACAAGACTAACAAAGGCCAGAGGTTCCTGACTTGGGACAGGCTTAAAAATGCGGCGGGGTTAAACATGTTATGTGAGATCTCAACCCTCCCCCTATACCTCTAGCCAATGTGGATCAAACAAACACACACCAATACACACAGTTAATTCAGTTTAAAAGATGTTGGAGTCCGATGTTAGAATATGTAACAGATCACTAAGCAAAATGACAATTTCAACATAAATTAACAAAGGACTACAATTAGTTACTGACATGCTCCAGACCTCATTTAAACTGATCGAAAGATTTTAGTACCTTCAATCAGAAGGAATGTTTTGTTTTTGCCTGGACTAAAATGGGAAATATATATTGACTACATGATTTGGGACATGTGTAGGAGTGGGCTTTTACTCCTATAAGAAGTGTTTTAGATACGGGGGAAAATTGTCTTGGTTCACTAGCTCACATATAAAAGGTACTCCATTATATAACTATAATTGTTTATTAAACGTTAAACAGGCATCCATAATAGTTCATATGATACAGGTTTACACTAATATATATAATTCCAGAAATAGATGTTCCTATGGCAAATGCAATTCTAAAAGGGACTTAAAACTCTAAGACCCAACTCTGTAATTAATTTAACTGACCCTTTAGCCTATTACCGTACTTAATATTCTAAATTTATCTCAAGTATCAAACCTTTGACCTTTTAATTACCAAATGGAAATGCTGAATTTGACAGAACCATATTTATATAAGAATCTTTAATGTCTCATGTAGTGGTCAATAACATGTGAAATAAACAATAAATTACAATTAATTACTTTTCTGAATATTTCAGTCTACTAAAGACACTAAAATCAGCATCTGTTGTTTACTAATAAAACTAAGCATGCAAATTATTTTATCTTCAACATGAAATAATCGAAATACTGAAAATTGTTTAAAATGTTACTTTTAAAATTGTTATGTAAATTTACTCTACTATAATACATGAAACGAATAGAATATAGGTAGATCGAAAATCATGAGTTAAGCTAATGGATTACATGTTTATTTACATAAATCTTTGGGCGGTACATCAATCACCTGATTAGAGAAGGTCTATGTCCTAGAATGATTAGGAAATAATTGAATGGCTTGAGTAAACATTCATTATAGCTATCAGGACTAATTTATATTACATTCAAAGTAATTATCAGACATTAGTAGAACAAACTTCCTCAGAAAGTTAATAAAAACAACACGTTGTCAGCAATTTTTTTAATATATTTTATTGAACATAATTATACATATATAACAATAAGTTCATCATGAAATAATCTTTCTGCTTTTCTCTTTTCTTCAAAACCTGAAATTACATAAGCTATACTTGATCATTAAAAATATTGTTGAATTTTATTTATTTTTTACCTTAGAAATTTTAATATGCCACATAAGACAAGGCCAAGAATTTTCTGGAAAAAACTATCGTCTTATCCACCCCGAAAATTACGTTGTTTTTTTTTAACCAATTACAATGTGTAGTGATTTTATTTTTTAGATATTATCTGGAATGCTTACCATTCTGAAATATTAGATCACCTGAATCTTACATGTTCTTTTAAACAATTTGTTTCCTTTACAGGTTGATCAGCTGATTGACCACTGTTCAGAATACTGTCATCTCAGAATTCTCATATATGATCTTGTACAGAAGCTGGAGAGAATAGAAAGGAATGGCTCTCAAAAAGTGATTTATTAAATGTTTATGATATATGTGTTCTGCACTGAAACCATTTTCTTTTTTTCTTTCTTTTTTCCATTAGCCCTTTGAACTTGCATGATAACAATATATTAATTTTGTAGTACATGTATTATATCATAGCATCAATCTAGTACATGGATAACAGCACGGAATGTACTGAAACAGCCTTGACAAATAATTGACTAACACTGTAGCTTTATACTAATAGTTTAAAGTAAATTGATGAAATCCATTATAATGTAGATGTCTGGTGTAATATTTCTGAAACTTTCAGTAATGGTAACATTCTATTAAAGCAGATAACAAATTAAGTCAGAAAGGTGGGGGGTCCTTTTCAGAAAATTATCATTTATTTGTTGAGAATAATATTTTTAAGAAGCATGAATAATAACTAGAAAATAGTGAATTTTTTCTAACCTTGTCATTTTCATTTGGAAGAAATAAACGTGTGAAAACTTAATGGCATATTTTCTGTAGAGTTCTGTTTACAGTGTAAACATATTAATGTGAAGGAGGTATATACCAGTGCATTTCACATATTAGAATATGCACTAGAATGAACACAAGCTTACAAAAATAATCTATTCACTGTAGATGTTTATGAATTTTTTTCTGAATAAGAATTGTTTATACTAAAAATAACCTGCCCAAAGTTCATTTTATGTCTTGACATTATGTGATACGTTTTCAAAAATGAATTCTCGCCTGAAGTTATTTTAAACAGTAGAATTTGCTTCATTGCCTTTTTTGTTTGTGTGTTATCCCTATGATACAGAAATGTTTTAATAATGTATTTATTTCGTAAAATTTGTGATGTATTAGTGGCATTTGAACAGTATCAATGATATAAACTGTAAATTTGAGAACTGTATTAGAGCTAATTTCCTAATGCTTGTAGATTAAGACTTTGGTTGGCTTGCTTGCTTTGTTTGTATAAATTTTTGCTCAAGCATTGTTATTAAGATTGACATCTGCAAACAATATAAATAGGCAGAGTTAGACCTGTTTATCAAATGATCTAATTTAACTATAATGTATGCAGGTTTAACTGTGCCTATTTATATTTTTTGCAGATGTCAATCTTAATAACAATCTACAAGCTTTAGGAAATTAGCTCTAATGATAAGTTATATTTCTTTTGACCAATATCATGCATTTAAACTTCATTAGCCTCTATTAATAAAAGTTTGGTATTAAAAGAATTAAATAACTGATTTATATTCGACTGCAAAAAATTTTTTGTGTTCGTATAATGGTATCATGTACGTCGTCATCGTCTGTGTTGTCCAAAGACACATTTAGTTTCGGGACAATAACTTAAGTTTAAGTGTATGGATCTCTCTGAAATTTTTTCAGAAGGTTCATTACCACAAAAGGAAGGTTTGGATTGATTTTGGGGGTTAAGGTACCGACAGTTTAGGAATAAGGGGCTGAAAAGAGGCCAAAAACAAGCATTTTTGTAGTTTCAGGGCAATAACTTTTGTGTAAGTTCTCTCTGGAATTGTACCACAAGGTTCCATATCACAAAGGGAAGGCTTGGATTGAGTTTGGGGTTAATTGCCCCAAACATTCAGGAATTAGGGGCAAAGAGGAGCCAAAAACAAGCATTTTTCTAGTTTCCAGACAAGAACTTGTGTTTAAGTGTATGGATCTCATAATTTTTTTTTTTTTTTCTAAAAGTTTTCTATTTCTGATTTATATATAGAGCAACAAATACTGATATGGCAGGAGATACACACCAAACAGGGTTTGTAAATTATTATTATATATAACAGATTTCCAGTATTGCGCAATATTAAGAAATCTTCAGTTGCACAGTATTGGGCAATAGCAAGAAATCTACAATTGTGCAGTATTGCACAATATCAAGAAATCTACAATTGCATAGTATTGCACAATTACAAGAAATTTTCAATTGTGCAGTATTGCGCAATAGCAAGAAATCTTCAATTGCACAGTATTGCGAAATAGCACCGTATTGCGCAATAGCAAGAAATCTTCAATTGCACAGTATTGCGCAATAGCAAGAAATCTTCAATTACACAGTATTGCCCAATAGTAAGAAATCTTAAATTGCACAGTATTGCCCAATAGCAAGAAATCTTCAATTGCACAGTATTGCGCAATAGCACAGTATTGCACAATAGCACATTATTGAGCAATAGCACAGTATTGTGCAATATCACAGGATTGTGCAATAGCACAGTATCAGGGCTGCCAAGTCTCACGCATTTAGCGTGAGACTCACGCATTTTCATGCTTATTTGGCGGCATTTTCCTTTGATCTATTGTTTTTTCTCTTTGATCTTTACGATTTTGGCCAAATCTCACGCATTTGCATTATTAAAAGTTGGCAGAACTGCAGTATTGCACAATAGCAAGAAATCTTCAATTGCACAGTATTGCGCAATAGCAATAAATCTTCAATTGAAAATAAATACAAATCTTTTAACCAATTTCAATGGGATTAATATATAGTCTTTTATATTGGAGGGTTCTAACCTTGTATTACTATTTTGGATATTGGGCCCATTTTTAAATTGGTCTACATTGAGGTTCAAAGGGTCCAAAATTATACTTTGTTTGTTTTCATCAAAAACTGAATTATTGCAGCTCTATGATATGCTGGATCTTATTGTGCATTTAAATTTTTTATTCTGGACCCTGTTTTCACATTAGTCCATATTAAGGTTTGAAGGGTCCAAAATTAAACTGTGTTTGATTTCAACTAAAATTAAAGTTTTGGTGTTTTTTTATGTGCTGAATATAACCATGTTGTTAGATTTTGGATATCAGACCATACTAGGTAAATTAAATGTCCCATTTCAAATTTTTAAGATCTTTGACCACATTTATTTGAGTCAGAAACCTTTATTATGTCAAAAATTCAGACAGTATCAAGCTTGATTATTGTGTCCAAACTTGCACTAACAGTTCACGGTTCGACCTCTGCGGTTGTATCAGGCTGTGCTCGGCGAAGCATTTTATTGTAAATTTTTAATAGGAAAAAATATTAAATTCATATAATTTGTTGAAAATTTAACAATATTTTGTGAGTTTTTCATTTTCAATTGGAAATTTTGCTGAAATCTTTTAAAATTTGGTGTGTTGAAAGTTCTAACCCATGTTTAAAATAAGGAGTTTGATATTATTTAAAGTGTCCAATCTTTTCTTTTTTGTCCCTCGTGCAATGCAATTATTTTATTAATGTCAAAATAAGTGTAAAGCATAAGTACCAGGTGACCAATATCAGCTCCATCCAGAAAGTATTTTATGAATGTTATGTGTTTATACTTTCAGACAAATGATTTGATAGACAGATTGTTTACAAGGTGTTGTCATTTGTTAGAGAGATATGTGTTTCTTATATGTTTCAATGCATACTTAACAGAACAGGTAAGTCTTTTGTGGAAAATTAAATTAAATTTTTCAGGGTCAATATAAGAATAAGAAGATGGAGTTTGATAGCTAATGATGTAGAAGTTAGCAATTGTAGGTCATCGTACAGCCTTCAATAATGAGCAAAACTCAATATTGAATAGTAGGCTAAAAAAGGCCCCCCGAAATGACAAATGTAAAACAATTCAAACAAGAAAACTAATGGCCTGATTAATATACAAAACAATAAACTGAAAAAAAATATGATGTACAGTATCAAATAACAACCACCAAATTACAGGATCAAACATGTTTTAGGGCACCCAACCCTCCCCAACCTGGAACAGGCACATATGGAATAGGACAGGATCAAACATGTTTTAGGGCACCCAACCCTCCCCAACCTGGAACAGGCACATATGGAGTAGGAAAGGATCAAACATGTTTTAGGGCACCCAACCCTCCCCAACCTGGGACAGTGGTACAACAGCACAAGGCCAGAAAAAACAAAAATAAAAATAGATATGATATACAGCAACAAACCACAACAACTCAATTACAGGTCCATATCAAAGATACTATAAGCAATAAGTCAATTACATTTTGGTGTATGGAATGATTTCAAGGTGATCATGTCCATCTGGCAGGGTTCATCTGACCTTTACCGCATTTTCTTGGTTCGTTGGTTAATAACATGCCTGTTTACGGAAGGTATTATGGTATATCGTTGTCTGTCCATCTGGCGCAGCTCTTTATTTTAAGTTTTCATGGTTGGGTCTGTTTTTCAGGCACTAAAAGCTATTGGTCATTTATATTTGTTGTATTGAATGGATGTAAAGGGAACATGTCCATCTGACAGGGTTCATCTTCTCTTGAGCTCATTTACATGGATGATTGATAATGTTAGTTAATGTGATTCTAAGTAGCAAAACTGTCAACGTTTATTTGATCATGACTAGTAAAGCAGGAGAGACATTTCAGCATTTGTACTACTGGTCCCTTGACTCCGTAAACCACAAAGTTCAAATGACATAGATTTTAGCAACAATAGGTCATCATACAGCCTTCAACAATGAGCAAAATCCATACCGTATAGCCAGCTTTAAAATGGCCTTGAATAGATAAAATGTAAAGCAATTCAAATTAAAAAAAAACAGTGTCCTAATTTTTATACGCCTGTTTAAGGGACAAATTATGGTATACCGTTGCCCGTCCATCTGTCAACATGTCGGACAATAACTCAAAAACACTTTAACAAATTTTCATGAAACTTTAGTGAATTGTTTATTTCTATTGACGTAAGGTCCCTTTCGATTTTTATAAATTTTAGATTTTACATTTTTGAGTTATGGGATTTTATTCATAAAAAAGGAGGGATTTTCTAGTTTTCGGACAATAACTCTAAAATGCTTTGATCAGTTTTCATGAAACTTTGGTGACTGGTTTATTTCTATTAAAATAAGCTCCCTTTAGTTTTTTTTATATATTTCTGATATGAAATTAAGGAGTCATTGAAAAAAGCGATGGGTGTATCATGCGCTCATGGTGCAGCTTTTATTGTGCAAAACAATAATGAAAAACAAATATAACAGCAACCAGCAACAACCACTGAATTACAACCCCTGACTTGGGACAGGCACATACAGAATGTTGCCAGGTAAAAAGCCTTCACTAACCGGGGCATTTACTAGACATAAATCTTTCAGATATCAGCAGTAATACTGTAAATTCAGATACTATTGCGAGCTTTTCATTAATGCGAAAAATGCAACCACTTGAGTAATGCAACAATAAGAACTTGCATTCTGCTACCTAATACATATATCTGTATGCAGTTTTTCCAAAAATTGTCAATTTATAAACTCGCATTTATGTTCATTATGTTCAAAAATCACAATAGAAAATGCACACAATAATTTCTGAGTTTACAGTAATGATATGAATTGTGTCTTGCATATTTGGTTTTGACCATGAAATTTCTTTGAATTAATTGAAAGCTGTCAAATAGCTTCATTTTTAGCTCACCTGGCCCGAAGGGCCAAGTGAGCTTTTCTCATCACTTGGCGTCCGTCGTCATCGTTAGCTTTTTACAAAAATCTTCTCCTCTGAAACCACTGGGCCAAAGTTAACCAAACTTGGCCACAATCATCATTAGGGTATTTAGTTTTTAAAATGTGACCGATGACCCCGCCAACCAACCAAGATGGCCGCCATGGCTAAAAAAAGAACATGGGGGTAAAATATAGATTTTGGCTTATATTTCTGAAACCAAAGCATTTAGAGTAAATCTGACATCGGGTAAAACTGATAATCAGGTCAAGATCTATCTGCCCTGAAATTTTCAGACAAATCTGACAACCTGTTGTTGGGTTGCTGCCCCTGAATTGGTAATTTTAAGGAAATTTTGCAGTTTTTGGTTATTATCTTGAATATTATTATAGATAGAGATAAACTGTAAACAGCAATAATGTTCAGCAAAGTAAGATCTACAAATAAGTTGTCATGACCAAAATTGTCAGTCGACCCCTTTAGGAGTCATTGCCCTTAATAGTCAATTTTTAACAATTTTTTGTAAATTTTTGTAATCTTTTACAAAAATCTTCTTCTCTGAAACTACTGAGACAAATTTAACCATACTTGGCCATAATCATTATTAGGGTATTTAGTTTAAAAAATTTGTCCGATGACCCCGCCTTCCAACTATCATGGCCGACTTGGTTAAAATTAGAACATAGGGGTAAAATGCAGTTTTTGATTTATATCTCTGAAACTAAAGCATTTAGAGCAAATCTGACAGGAGGCAAAAATGTTCATCAGATTTAGATTTATCTGCCCTGAAATTTTCAGACAAATCCGACAACCCGTTGTTAGGTTGTTGCCCCTGAGTTAGTAATTTTACAAAAAAATTGCAGTTTTTTGTTATTATCTTAGATATCATTATAATATCTAATATCTAATACTATTAATTATGATTTTAACCTTATTTTACATGATTTCCTAAGCATCAGTAAATACAGGTGAGCGACACAGGCTCTTGAGAGCCTCTAGTTTATCTTCGCTACAGTTTCACTTAAATGAGACGTTTTGTAACTAGGTGTCTTATACAAAGATGTTGATGTAAATGAGTTTTGGTCGAAAATAGGTGTCTTATACAAAGATTTTGATGAAAATGAATTTTGGTCAAAAATGTCATGAAATGACATGTTCATAACATCACAGTGATATCACATCTGTGCATAATTGACCAGACTATATCATCTGATTCATTCATCATAAAAATTACCATTTTGAAAGGATTGAATAATTTGATTATTTTTGCAGATTTAGGGCCTACAATTAAATGACAGCTCTCTTTTACCATCTCTTCTGGTGGTAAAAACTTTACCATCTCTTCCCTTGGTAAAAACTTTACCATCTCTTCTGGTGGTAAAAACTTGACCATCTCTTCTGGTGGTAAAAACTTTACCATATTTGTCATTTCAAGAATGAGAACAGTAATAAATGAGCCATTCTTTAGTATTTTTCTTTTGTACATAATTTTATGTTGCCTCAAGCATTTTTCAAAACTTTTTGGTTTAACTACCAAGAGTGGATTGATATGGTAATCAATGGGATAAATCAGTAGAATTTGTTCTCTAATGATTTAATGAAAAATGCACGGTCAATGTTCTAAATGGATATGGCGGGAAATTATACAAGACAAATTTTATCAACATATAGTTTATCGAAAATTTATCAAACTGGTCAGAACCAGCTAAAGTTGCATACAGAATTAGAGAAATACAAGTGACATATTCAAAGCCTACTATAATTATCTTTCAAATGTTTCAAGAATAACTTGATTTGCATCAGTCAGGGGAATTACTGAATTCAGTGATTTTTAAATCACTTGTTTAAGTAGCAAATTAGAAATTTTGTGATTTAGTAGTTTTACCAAAATTTTGAACATACAGGTTTAGAATTTGTATCTAATTATTAATAAAATTGAAAAAAATGGACCTTTTGCTTCTTTTAGGTAGCAAGGTTTATGCCTTTGACGCAATCATTCATCAGTAAATTCTAAATTTGTTGAAAAAACTGCTATAATGAAGGCATTACATAATGATCTAATACTTTCTTAAAAGATTTTATCCATCAGTGGGAGTTTTTTCCTGTAAAATTCAAGGTTTCAGCTTTCAGATTATGCAATAAAATTTTACTGTTCCTGACCAAAATTTAACTGTTTGGGAGTGTTGAAAATAGTGGGAGGTAATTAATAAAATAATACTTAAAGAAGTGATTTTTTTGAAGGAAATACAGGTATGATAATTAAACAAGTGATTTACATGTCATTATCCCTGATACAGGTTCAATACCTGACATGAGCGGTCATCCTATAAACACAGATGTTGGTTCTGATAATTTTAGCTACATAATTAGTCCCTGGATCATTAGCATTATATATTTAAAGCTACAATTAAGTAAAATCACTAAGTCTAGTGATTTATTTGTACTACTTAAATAGGTGATTATTAAAGAAACACCACTCTTACTTGCAACATTTCTGGACAAAATGTTACTTGAATAAGTGATTTAAGGAATCACTTATTTAAGTAACTCCCCTGACTGGACATAGGAATAAGTGTAACTGACAAATATAAAAAAGAGAACTAAAGATTCCATATTAATTCAAAAACAGGCAGGCAGAATAACTAAAGTTGTTTTTCCATTAATAGTATTACAAATGAAGTATTGCATAAAACTCTGCAATTGTGTACATTTTCAAAGCAGACTTTTTCATGGAGTCAAGATATCGATCAGTATCTAGATAGACTCTTGGACACAACCTGAGTAATACAAAAAAAATCATCAACAGTTTAATCATTTTGATAATAATTTTAACTGTAGCAATTTTAGAGCACCATTTCAGGGTTCGACATTAACTTTCATACCAACTTGTCCAGTTGGGCAAGTGCCCTATTACTTTTACTTGTCCAAAAGTGAAATCTACATGCCCAAACTTTTACATGCTATTTTTGTGGTTGTAATGTAGTACATGCAGATAAAATATAGTTATCATGTATATGGGGTGTAAATTGATTCAACGAACACTTGTGGCTTCCTTTTTTTATTCATATTTAGCTTTTGACTCGGACTGGGAGTCATATTTCCTTTTTTGAGGAATTCCACTGAAAAAACTTGCCAGGGTTGATTGTTGTGCCATGATGGCAGCAACTTGACTTGACCACTGAGATACTATGAGGCATATATGAGCCGAGGATGGAGGGAAAAGAACGACGAATATACGGGAATTGGATCATTTACATAGAGATGCTTATTTCAAAATGATTTATTTAAGAAATGCCATTTAAAAAAACCCTTCTTGATAAACTGACAACAACTGACAAATTTGTTAAAGTTTAATTTCATTTTCTCTTTCAAGCTTTTACGTTTTTCCATCTTAAGGAAATACACATCCGATGTCAAATTCTAAAGTTAGAACAACGAAAATAGACCTCCGCTCTCCATTGGCCGGTGGAAATAACACGTGCGTCGGAAACGCCCCGAGTGGTGTCCCGATTGATAACGATAATGACGAAGCAACGCTGCGGCTGCCTGATTGGCTAATATTTTTTAAATGTGATCTATTTTTGGTAAAATGGGGAATTCAGTGCGAACAAATGACGAAATATACGCATTGAAGGGGGGTTAAGACCACTTTACTCGACCATGCAGTGTTATCACTGAGTAATCTATGAACAAAACCACACACTATTGATTTTGTGAAATTTAATCATATAACACTTTTTTTTTTCACTTGCCCGATCGGACAACCAAGATATTGTTTTTACTCGTCCGAATACGGCATTAACTTGCCCAGGGCAATCGGACAATGGTAAGTGTCGGACCCTGAGTCCATTTGCGCATTTCAACAATAAACATGTCTTCACTGATTGCTTGAGGACAAAATATTTGAAAATCCAAAACTTATTAAATAAATTAAAAGATAATGTGAACATTGATAAACCAATATAGAAAGGTTCATGTGATAACTACATGTCACTTTACTCTCTATTGTAGTTTCCACAGTGGTTCTCTTTGAGTTTTAGCCAATGGATGCAAAGACAACCCGGATTGACAAGAATACGTGGAAATGTTGGCTGTCCAGATATACAAGTACCTGTTGATTTATTATTTACTGGACAACATTATCTGGTAGGACTTTTATCACATTGAAATCTTGCCATTTTAAATGCATTTAATCACATTGACAAATAGCAAAATTGGCCATCTGGAAGGTATTCAATCTCATTTTTATGACAAAGTAGCCTATCTTTGAAAAGCTAATGTTCTCTTCTTGCTGAAAGGGTTACAGAGAAATATTGACAAGATTTATAAGAATTAGATCATAACATGACAGAATTGTTCATTTTCCAAATCATGCACTTATTTCTTTCTTGGCTATCTGTATTATATGACAGTTTTCATCAAATGAAAAGTGAGAACATTTCCTAAATTTTTGTACAGGAATTTAGAAATGACTTTCATTTCAGTTAAGGATTACTTTTACAAAGTTGTAGTGAATTTTATCTGAATTCTTGTCTTCATTTGATATTAAAGTTGCCATTTATAACTTTAGGTTGAGCTATCAAGCAAGAACTATAAGATACAAGAACTTGCTCACTTAAAATAGTTGAGAAAAGTGGAACACCTAAGTAAACCATTATCATTACGTAGAAACAAAAGATATGAAATTCATAAAAATCCTGCAAGAAAATTTTTATTGAGAGCACTTACAATGCAATTTTAGATTAAATTTATATTTCCAAGGGACAATTAACTTCTTTTAAAAGTAGTTGTTTGCAACTGATTTTCAAACTTGTCCAAGACAGAGCTGTTAAAATCCATTGATATAAATTTCACAAAAAAACTGGAAAATTATTAATGAAATTGTTGCAGCTGTCGATCTTCACAGTGTCTTTTTGTCCCAGCATGTTTTCTGCTTATAATACTATATTTGGATTCTATGATAAATAATAACAGAACGTGTTTGACTGTTTTTCATGTCTTGTTGAAAATGCTTAGATTAGTATGTCACAAAATTTGACACTTTGACCAAATTGCTGTAAATAGGGGTATAATTGATGTATAAATGTAACAGTGTCATTTGCAGGAACAATTAGAATTGCTATTTATTTTCAACTGTCAATTTTCTCAGTTTTGTTTAGTACCATCTTGTTTCTATACTAAATGTGTATTACAATATAAATAATTATCTTGTTTGTACTATTTTCTCACAACTGTGTAGAAAAAGTGTGAAGTGGATTTTTATTAAAAAGATATATCGTCATCTGTAGTTTAATTGATGATGTATATGAGACTAAATTAATACGTCACAACATTTATCACTTTGACCAAATTTTTATATTATGGTAAATTTTAACTGTCCTAATGACCTTATGCAGAACAATTAAAACTGAATTTTTTTCTCAGTTTTGATGTATTCACATGTGTGACTCTTTCAGATGGAGTTAAAATCTCCCAGATTCTATGCCCTTGTCATTTTTATCAAGGCACCTGTCAATTTTAAATTTCATTTTTGTTGAGACCTTTTTTTTGTTGCCTATTATAAAGAATTTCTTCAAACATTTTAATCACATGATCTATCCATCTGTTTGTACATCAAATAGTTTTGTGTCACTCTTTTCTCAAGAACAGAATGACTTCATACTTGGTCAACAGTATGACATTGATGAGTTGTGAGCACTTTTCCAATCTGTCAAACATAGATACAAGAACTTGCTCACCTAAAATAGTTGAGAAAAGTGGAACACCTAAGTAAACCATTGTCATTACATAGAAACAAAAGATATGAAATTCATAAAAATCCTGCAAGAAAATTTTTATTGAGAGCACTTACAATGCAATTTTAGATAAAATTTATATTTCCAAGGGACAATTAACTTCTTTTAAAAGTAGTTGTTTGCAACTGATTTTCAAACTTGTCCAAGACATTGCTGTTAAAATCCATTGATATAAATTTCACAAAAAACTGGAAAATTATTAATGAAATTGTTGCAGCTGTCGATCTTCACAGTGTCTTTTTGTCCCAGCATGTTTTCTGCTTATAAAACTATATTTGGATTCTATGATAAATAATAACAGAACGTGTTTGACTGTTTTTCACGTCTTGTTGAAAATGCTTAGATTAGTACGTCACAAAATTTGACACTTTGATGAATTACTGTAAATTGGGGTTTAATTGATGTATAATTGTAACAGTAACTGTCCTAATGACCTTATGCAGAACAATTAAAACTGAATTTTTTTCTCAGTTTTGATGTATTCACATGTGTGATTCTTTCAGATGGAGATAAAATCTCCCAGATTCTATGCCCTTGTCCTTTTTATCAGGGCACCTGTCAATTTTAAATTTCATTTTTGTTGAGACCTTTTTTTGTTGCCTATTATAAAGAATTTCTTCAAACATTTTAATAACATGATCTATCCATCTGTTTGTACAACAAATAGTTTTGTGTCACTCTTTTCTCAAGAACAGAATGACTTCATACTTGGTCAGCAGTGTGACATTGATGAGTTGTGAGCACTTTTCCAATCTGTCAAACATTCCTATTGCTGATACTTTGAATTATCAATACAGTGAATGAACTTTTTTTATCACACATTTCTGCAGTATTACTTACAGAATGATTTCATATTATAGTCAACAGCTTTACAGTGATGACTTGTTAAGTGTAAGCGGTTTTCGGATCTGTCGGACATGTACTTCCTGTTTTGTAATACATGTACTCTGTTTTATGATATATTGAATTACTTTTGGGGGGATATGCTTAGCAGGATATATGCAACTGATGTTTTTTTTACCTAATTTTAGGTGGCAGATGAATACATTGGTTTAGATGTATTAAGTACTCAGTCAGATGTTATGGTCTCAAACTTCAGACGGATAAATATTAAAGGCTTTCCCATCTATGGAATGGCACAACCAGCCAGACATGTAAGATATTACTACATAAACTTTATTAAGCAGCCTAAAGTTCAACTTTTGAAATAAAGTAAAAATTGAATTAACATTAAGGTCTTTCTCTTTGTCAGAATTACCAAAAATGTGGTACATTTAATAATTTTGCAGCCAACAGAGGCATTTGTGTCATCCTGACAAGTCTAAGTCTTTCTATTGTTTATCCAATACTAAAAGAAGATAAAACAATTAATTGATTATTATGAATAAAAAGAAAGGTAGGGTAAACTTCTTTAAGACAGAGCCCAAACATTGCAAAAAACAAAAAGATGCTAACATACAGCCTTTTATAGTAGACCAGTGTCACAGTCAAGCTATAGACAGGCCCCAAGTCTAAAAAGTGAATTTAGCAAAGACTATCAAAGATAACCACTGATAAGGTTCTGTGTTTGGAGGTTTAAAATATAGAAAGGAGGAGAAATTACAAAAATGTTTAAAATGACTTGTATAAGAGGATTAAAGTATTTGCAAAATTTTGATTAATCCAAAATTAAGGCTGTCTTATCCTTTAAACTTTTGATATATATATAATAGTCCAAATGATTCTGTTCATAATGCCTTTGAATGAATGATAGTTTTATTTTTCATTAAAGAATGTATTTTTTCACAGGGAGTGACAAAAGTAACAAACCACCTTTTAAGTAGGAAAGTAGGTCACACTTTCTTAGTTTTGATTAACCTGAGAAATGATTGCTCCATAGAACTAGATGGTAATACCTACAGCATCAGAGACTCAGTATGGCTAGAGGAACCAATTACACATCCACTATTACATAGTCAAGAATTAGAGGTAACTTCTTTAATAGTAGAAGGTCTTAAAAAAAGCTTTTCAAACCCATTTCATTTTATATTACTTTTAAACTTTATTCATATCTGTTATACAATTTTGTTTAGCACACATACATACTTCTTTCTTATATTTTTAGTAGATTTTGTTTTTAATCTTTTAATAGGCAAGAATATAAAATGAATTTTTAGACGATCTTTCAATGAGAACTTTCATTAATGTCAAAGGTAGCTGAGCATGATCCCATAGTGCAGCTTTGTCTAAGAATATTCTTTTTTATTTCTATGATATATTTTTTCAGGAAATAGGGGAAGAAATAAAGAAAGCCATTAAAACACATAGATCAGTTGAGGTAAAGATAATCTATTGCTGTAGCTAGCTAGCTGTTGACAATTTAATACAATGCAGCTTGGTAATTTTTATTAGTAGTATAAAATCAAATAGAACCAAATTACTTCTTTAAAACACAGATGCCCTAGCTTAAAAGAACTGTATGAAAACCTGCTACAGATAAACCTCCATATGTCAAAGGAACTTGATATATAACTCTTTGACTTTTCCATTTTTAAATTAGTCTGAGGTTGCAATTAACCTCATAATGTCCTGTTTCAATATGGTACCTGGTATATTGTCAACCTAGTATGTTAAGTTTTAAGACATGTCTTATATTATGATGCATCTGCATCGATATTATTAAAATTAATTTTAAATTATACTGAATTGTTCATGAATTATAAGGGATTTTCTGGTGAAAATGGTCTGTAAAAAAAAAAAAAAAATCCAGTGTTTTTTCAAAACTATTTTTTTAACATTGCAGGTTTACCATGAGTTATCTGAGCCGTCAGAGGTCATTGAGGTCAGTAGTATATTGACCCCACAAGAGCTGGCATTACAACAGAAATTACAGACGTTAGATATGCAGTACTACCGAGTACCTCTGACCCATGATACAACACCCTGTGAACAGGTGATTAGTCATGTGCACAATTTAGTGGGGAATACATTTTTGTTAAATGACACTGACACAAGTAAAGTTATTATGTTTCTGTATAGTTGTTGTGTTTGATAATTCAGAATGACTTTATCCTCAATCAAAGTTAATAAAAAGCTTTCTTTCGATTACAATGCTCAAATTTTGTATAAAGAATGATTTTGAAAATCACTGTAAGACAGATTATAATGATAATAGAAATGCAAAAGGACATTTGATGCTTTGTTTTCATTTCTCTTACCACTTTCTGGTAAAATATAAAAAGAACAAATTTTGCATGACCAGATCTGATTGTTGATAAGACATATGTCTAATTGTTCTGCTATGTATAATTATATAGGACTTTGATGACATATCATCTGTGATCTGTGAGCATTGTTTAAAGAACCAACCAATCAACAACACAGCTTTTTTGTTTTACTGCAGGACAGGCAAAAATAGAACGACACTAGCTATGGCTATAGCTGGTTTAATTATGTGTCATATACAGGTAAATCACAGGGGAAGAACTTATTTTTTCTAGTTGATATCAACTTTATCAGTTATAAAATATTCAGATTACAAATAATTTCCATTTCCTTCAGATAAAGAATCAAAAGATCAGAGTTGGCCAATATGGCTAAAAATAGAACTTGGGGGTAAAAATGCTAGATTTGTCTATTATCTTGAAAACCACTATAAATAGAGAAAATCTGACTGGGACAGAATGTTGAAATCTGCCTTATGTCCAATTTACATCAAAACTGTCATACCACTACTTATAGGAGTTAATGCCCTTAAATAATCAATTTATCATTGTTTTTTTTTTTAATTTTTCTCATTATCTTAAAAACTATAATAGAGAGAAACTTCAGCTTTAATTTCATCAAGAACATGCATTTTATCTTATTCATATAGTAACTTTTAATTCAATTTGTGTTGTTTTTCTTGCTGTCTAGTGGTAAATTTTTTAAGGAGTTTTATTTTCCACTAATTTCACAATAAATACAAATCTTGAAAACATCTCTTTGGTAAACAAAATCAGGGACATGTAAAAATTGATAACAAAATTTGTGAAAGACTTTCAGTCCCATAATTTTATATTCCAAGAAAACAAAACACTTTGCAGTATGAGATAAATACATCAACAGAAATGACAACTGAAAAAGTAAAGTGTGCCTGCTAGGCTTATTACAAAGAAAACATTTAACCGAGGTAATCAATATTTTCTTGCAACTTGTCAGTTAAGATTAAATTCTATAAGACATGCTTGATATTAGTCTTTTAATGTCACAAATGCTGCATTTATTGTATTTTACTAAGTAAGTAGTGTGTGCTTTTTTGAAATAGGAATATCATTAAACATCAGATTTTTTTGTATTTTCAGGGGTTTCCAAAAGGAGCTAATATCGGTGAACAAGAAAGAGTTTCCTGTCCGAATGCACAGTATACAAAAGGAGATTTTATGGTAGGGAGATAAAGTGTTTTTATGTTTTAAAGTTGAAAAGGCATTTTGAATCATAACTTTTTTGGACACAAAATAAACAGGTTTTACTGAAATATATTGAAATTAAACAATTTTCAAAATGCAGGAATAAAGGTCTTTATGAAGATAACAGCACTCTTGGTTACATCAGGTTATAGTTTTATTAACTGGCTTATTTAGTCACATTTGAGTAGCATTTTGAGAAGTAGTAAAACATACAATTAAGTGTGTTACAATGAAATTTACTTAAAGTTCTGTTCATATATTAAAAATGAAAGTGAGAAATTAAATTAGTGTTTAAGCTTGAGTTTAAGTTGTTTCGGAAGGTTTATTCTATAAAAGTTCAATAATTGAACAAGATTTAATTTATAAAGAGTATCCATAATATATCTCAGTTTTTCTGTTCACCAGGGCTTAGTACTGGTTAAGTCACTGATAAAGAGAATGCATCATATGAATTTGGAATTTCTTTGTAACCCTTTAAACATCAATTTTCTTCTTCTTTTTTTTCAGATTGTACAAAAACTGGTTAGACTATTACCAAAAGGCCAACAAATAAAACGAGAGGTTGACTTTATTCTTGATGAAATATTTGAAACGATGTCACCTATGCATTTCCATATAAGAGAGGTTATATTTGTGATATATAACAAGGTAAAGATTTATAGCCCATCTAACTTGGCTTGAGCAACTAGATTTTTTTACTGTAAGTCCAGCTGGCCTGAATTTTGTTTACTTTTTGGCTTGAAATATACTATTAATAAACTTATTTTCGCAAGCGATTTTTTTTAAAGTATAAAAATTTCACGAATGTAAATCGTATGACTATGTTAAACTTCCCTTATGTAAATACATTATAAAAATTAGAAAATTGTGATAGTAAAAAAAAACAGCAAACACAGCCAGACAGGACTTAGGTAATACGAAATAAAGCATCCATGAAAATAAATTGGGTGACAGTGATGGTGGGCTCCAGAAAAAAAAGACTGGGCCACAATTGTAATATGATTTTGTTCAAACCTGGGCTATTATATCTCATTATAATCTTATGTTCCTACCCTGAGAGTTAGATAAATTGGAACTTAATCCTAAGTTTGGATTTTGGTTAAAAATACAAATTGCACATTTCCCTGAATCTGTTGACATTGAATTTTTTTTTCTTATTTTTATATTATTTCGTCAAAATATATGCAAACAGCTGATTTCTTGTTGCCTTTTTCAACAATGTAATTCAAATTTTGCAGATCAAAAATGCCAAGAATGATGAAGACAAACAACACTTGAAACAACAGAGTATAGATGCCCTGGAAAGATATCTGTATCTAATAATGTTCAATGCTTATCTTCATCATGATAAGAAAATACAGTGGTCTAGATCCTTCAGTGAATGGATGAAAAAGGTAAATATCCATTGTACTCTCCATATTAAATAATCATTTTTTCTTTATTTTACCGTGTTTGGATACTGTAATGAATAAGGGAAGTTTTATGTGCCCTGCTTTTTAATATATGTTCTTTAAGGAATTCTCTTTCTTGCCAAGTAAGTTCTCAATGTTCATATTTATTTGCATACTTTATATTAGTGAAATAAGCCTGCACTTCCTATGAATATAACTTTTCTGCATTACTGTATTGTAGGTTCATCACAAAAGTTTTGAACTGATAAATAACTGATTTTCTTCATGTCAAGCTTGATATATAAGTCCAAAGTCTTGACTGCATAGAGAGACTGTTCATGTTGTGTCTATTAGACCAACAAAAATGTTTCAGAACTAATCTTTGTGAGAATAAAATGAAACATAGGCATATATTGTCCGGTTGATTATTTTTTTATATATATATCTAAGAAATCTGATTCACACTAGTTGGTAGTCACCTTGCTACATAACAAATTTTACAAAACTAAAAATACCTATAAAAATGGATATGTTTATTAGTTATGAACTAGTGAAGGTTGAAAGTGCATATGTTTTGAAAGCACTCTGTCGTTTTCTTAGCTTATCTTTTTTGTAAGTTTATTTGCCTGATAAAACACCATCTGTTAAATGAAAATATTTAAAATGTTTATTACACATAGACTTGTTATTTATGTTTTTTTTTATTTCTAATGTTTGCTTTCTGTTTTTCAGGTTGCTGTGAAAATTGGGGTTTATCAGTTACTTGACAATTTGGGTTTCTATGACTTTGAGAAAGTCCCTACATCATTTAAGACAATGAAAGAGCGATGGAGTAATCGTGGACAGAATTTACCATTTCAGGGGTCATTCGTCTAGGTGATCATATTTCCTGGAAATATAAATAATGACAGAATTTATGAAGTGAAGATATTATAATTATGTGATATTAAATTAATGCAGTTTGTGATTTTATAAGATATGTTTATCAAAATGAAAGTTTTCAAACAATTGTTATGACATCCCTAGTTTACCTTGTACATACTACTGGTTAATGGATACAAGATTAATTGCATGTTCCGTCAAATGGTTATATTGTGAACCTCAAGAAGACATTTTATATGAATTTGAAAGGATAAGATATACTTTTCTCTTTACCAGAATCCTCCCTCATCAGTAAAATAAATTTCTCTTTTACAGTTGTTTATTTTTAACTCAATTGCAAATGAAAATGGAAGGTTATTATACAGATATATCTACTTGCACAGTCACATGTAAATTATTACATAAGGGACATGTAAATTATTACATAAGGGCTATTCCATGAAAAAAAAACAGGCTGGTGGACAGAGGTTGGACATATTTTGATATTTTTTTCTGTTGGTAATGGGGGTTGAAGCAAAAACATGCAATTCTGTTAAAGATAAAAATTGTGGGTGGTGGTGTATCAAAAAGTGTTGTCCACCTCCCCTGCCCCCACCCCCGACCTACATTTTTTTTTCCTGAAATACCCCTACTGTGATTAACATCTCATGGATGGATGTTTTTAATTTGAATCACCTTGAAAAAAGCAAGGAGAACAAGTTATATATGTAAGTCAAACATAATCTGTAAATACATTTCAGTATAGTCAACCAAGTTCATATGAAATCAACTTTGTTATTCAAGATTCAACAAAGTTTAGTGTAGTTCATGACGCGTCTCAGTGACAGTAAAATGGATATTGGGACCATCAAAAGTTGACAGTGCAGGATCTATAAATACCAGGGGCCGGTTGTTCAACTTGTCGTTAAGTCTAACGCTGTCGTTAAAATATGTTAACGCATCGTTAAAATTTAACGCATGGTTAAACCTGTTGTTCATCTCTACGTTAAATTTAACGCAACGTTAAACTGTCGTTAACTTCTATAAAATCTAACGCTGCTATAGACCTTCGTTAAATACTTAACGAAGGGTTATAATTTATAAAATGGCTGCTCTGTTGATGGTACCTAGGCAAAGAAAAGATAGAATCTTCAGAGGAATGGTTTCTCATCTAAATAATTTGACAGATACTGAAATGAGGACAAGATATAGGTTTGGAAGAGACTCTATAGCCTACATATGTAATATTGTGGGAGATAAATTGAGGAGATCCACAACAAAGGAAACTGCTTTAACAGTGGAACAACAAGTATGCATAGCCTTGAGGTTTTATGCCTCTGGGTCATTCTTACAAGTCATTGGAGATACGATGGGGTACGATAAAGCAACTGTATCTAGAGCAGTAAATGATGTAACTAATGCTTTGCTCGATGTTAAAGACAACTTCATCCAGTGGCCAAAAGACATTAATTCTATAAACAGAATGAAGTGTGGTTTCCACAGACAAATGAACTTTCCAAATGTTTTGGGATGCATTGATTGCACGCACGTCAAGATACAAGGGCCATCAGAGGACGAGGCAGCTTTTGTCAACAGGAAGGGGTACCATAGTGTGAACGTGCAGGCTGTGTGTGATTACGAAGGTACTTATTTAATTTAGTAATCTTGTGTATCTCTGATCTCCTCTTCGCCTGTTTATTTGTTTACCTTTATTATTATCTCCCTTAATCTTTCTCGTCAGTAAACGAACAACTCGGCCCTCGATGTTATACGACCCAAATATTACCAGTGATCGATCGACGATGACCACGATAACTAAATTTAGAACGCTTATTCCTTAAATGGAGTTGTAAAATGACAACCCTCACCCCAAATGTTCATCTGCATATTTTGCATTCAAAGGCGATGCAGATATCGGAATCTGAGGCTAATAAAGATGGGGGGGGGGGGGGGGGACATGGGAAAATATTTCGATCGATTTTTGTCCAGGAGTAAGGGAATAGGGAAGTGTGAATCAGGGACCCCCTGAACACCCCTCAATAAATAAAAATAACGGATTTTTTTTTAATTTGTACGTTCAAAGCTCTTTTGTTAAAACTATACCCTCATCAGCAGAAAAAAATATGTGTAAATACATTTGTACGTTGAAAAGTTTTTGAGTAATATTAACAAATGGGGCCTTAGTGCTTATACAATTTATAAATCATGGTTGGGCTTTGGGGTTGGGGTGGGGGCATTGTATGCTATCTTTTTCAATTAGAACGCGCACCTGTGAGGGGACCCAAAACACTGTTTCATGTGCCACTTGAATCATATGTACTATTTCTAATCTATACAATGTTTATAAATGAAAGCATATTACTGTTGTATTTTTTTTTGTACGTTTAACTTTTATTCCATGATGATTTGATTGAACCTATCAGTAAATTCAATAATTTTATTATTTATGTATGTTCAAAATTGTTTTCAGGAAAAAAAATATGTACGTTTCCTTCGTTATTTGTCACAAGTAACAAAAGACTGACCTTTATTCAAGCTGCAGTTAACTGTAACATTAAATTAGTACTCCTCATAAAATTAAAGTAGTTTAATATATTTTTAGGGAAGTTTACCAATATATCTGCTAACTGGCCAGGGTCAACCCATGATTCCCACATCTTCAACACCTCAAACCTGTGTCATTACCTGGAGACAAACAACAGAAGACTTGCAGACGGTTTGATCCTCGGAGATAGCGGGTATGCATGTCGCCCTTTTCTCATGACACCCTATCCAAATCCCAGAGAAAGACACCAGCAAAGATTTAATAGAGCACACTCCAGCACAAGATCCATTATTGAAAGGGCTTTTGGAATCTTAAAGAGAAGATTTCATGTTTTGCACTCCGAGGTAAGAATAATTATAGAGTACTTAAAATATGTTAAAATAAACATATGTGGTACGATTGCTAATGAGAATACTCAAAACCAGAGACCAAATTACATAGAAGTTAACATCTATAGGTAACCGTACGGCCTTCAACAATGAGATAATCCACGCCACATAGTACGCTGTAAAAGACCCAAAAATGACAAATGTTAAACAATTCAAACGAGATAAGTAACTTCCAGATTTATGTACAAATAATATATATACGAATCATCTTTACAAACACCCCTTATGATGCAGAGCTATAACATTTAAATAACCTCAGCAGTTTCGTACAACAAATGCAAAAAAACTTCAATCGAGAAGAAAGAAAATATATAGAGAACAGTGGCGGATCCAGAACTATTCATAAGGGGGGGCCCGCTGACTGACCTAAAGGGGGGCGCTCCAGTCATGCTTCAGTGATTCCCTATATAATCAACCAAATTTTTCCCACAAAAGGGGGGGCCAGGGCCCCCCCTGGATCCGCCTATGGAGAAAAAAGGGACACAAAAAAGAAACTAATTATGAAAAGGACAAGTAGACACTAAGGGAGCTACCATTTAATTTTTTTTTTTTGTGGGGGGAGGCTAGGATGAAAAAAATTGTCCTGCCTTTTTCTTTTAGTTGTGATCTCTGTCCTGCCTTTTTATTTTTCACACTTATTTTTACATAAATTGTCATTCTGCCTTTTTTTCCCTCAAAACTCCTGTCCTGCCTTTTTTTAAAATTTCATATAAGCCCCCCTCCCCCCAAAAAAATCAAATGGTAGCTCCCTAAAACTAGAGACAATTGTTGCAGAAAGACGCACAGTTCATATGAATTAAAGATTGTCAATAGTGAACCTGCTATTAAAGTAACCATTGTTTTTTTTAGAATGCAATGAAAAAAAGTCATTAACATGGTATTTTTTTGTAAAGGGGATATCTGCATGGGTAATTTTCCAGGAGACAATTGTAGAAGAGAATACTCTTCCGAAACAGTATTTTTTTCCAAGTGAAAGATATCCGAATTAAAAATTAACTCTTCATGCCCATAATTATACCCCACGCAACGAGTTGCGGAGGGTATAATGTTTTTTGACCCATCTGTCCGTCCGTCTGTCCTGTTTCTTGTCATCGCAACTCCTCTCAAACCACACAACCGAATTTCATGAAACCTTTTCAGATAATAAGGACATACTCCGTAGATGTGTATATCGACAGGAAATTACGATTCAGTTTTTTTCCAGGAGTTACGCCACTTTGAACTTATTGTCCAATATACTACTGCAACCTTTTGTCATCGCAACTCCTCTCAAACCTCACAACAGAATTTCATGAAACCTTTTCAGATAATAAGGACATACTACATAGATGTGCATATCGACAGGAAATTACGATTCAATTTTTTTCCAGGAGTTACGCCCCTTTGAACTTATTTGCCCAATATACTACTGCAACCTTTTGTCATCGCAACTCCTCTCAAACCACACAACAGAATTTCATGAAACTGTGTAGATAATAAGGACATACTATGTAGATGTGCATATTGACAGGAAATTATGATTCAATTTTTTTTTCTGATACAATTTTTTTTTTCTTACACTTATTTTATTTCTCCAATGACAATGTGGGGACGTGGGGTATGTGAGCGCGCTCACTAAGGTTCTTTCATTATGTTTTTAAATTTCAGGTCAGAATGAAACCAGAAAAAGTCTGTCGAGTCTTTGGTGCTTGTGCTGTTCTACATAACATAGCTTTAACAAGGAATGAACCTTTGGATGATGTTTTTGGTGTACATGTTCAGCAAGACCAGCCAGTGCAAGTTCCGCATTTTGAAGGAGAACAGGATGGTAGACACATAAGAGAGCATATCGCAAGAGTTTTCTTCAACTGAAATACATGTTTTGAACACAAAAGAGTCTTTATTTTTCATCCAATATAAAATTGTGATAAATATAAATACAAGTTATGTTTTCTCAAAACACATGCATTTGACATGTTGAATTGAAAGCAAATTATGAGTTCATATTACATTTACGGTAATGTGAGCTGTTGGCACTACTAGGTGTCCGTCGTCAACATCTTTTTTACACATCATCTCCTTGTTAATTCTACTCTGAATGATATCTTACCCTAAGGATTGATTAAGGTATAGATTTAAGGTCATCCTTTGGACTTTGTTCGTCCAATCAGTAAAACCCTTGCCGCAAAGTGGGTCTTCCATAGACTGTTGGATGTGTAAATACGCGGGCACATCCGGTTGGAAAGGGGATGTAAAATCTGATTGCATTGTGTGGAAATAGTGTAACGCTATGCATATTATAAGAGCCCTTACAAAAACGTGTGAGTTGTCTGATCATACCTATTGTACTCTTTGTTAATTTGTTCTCATCATGAACATGCATGAAATATTTGCCACTGGATGTAAAGCAAACGATCAAAATGAA